TGTTTTGTTAAATAAAATGTTATGTGAGGCCTCAATATGCAACATAGATAAAAGCAGCATGACTCTCTTTGTGGCATGTGGAGGGGGCGGGAGCAGTGAGGTGAAGGGGAAGATCTGGAAACCCAACTCCCATGTTCCCTAATTTTTCATTCCACCATCCGGGATGGTCCCTGAGGCACCTCTGAGGAACTAAACCCCAAGACTCTGAAGCCACTATTTGAAAGTCAGTTAACACATTCATTCACTATTAATTATTAAACACACACATCAAATTGTAGCAATCATGTATGTAAACAAGGTATGGTGTTCTCTAGGTGTGTCTGTGCACCCACAAGTTATATGCCAGAAGGAGATAAAACTTTTCAAAAGCCTCGCACAGAAATGTAGATGGAGAACAAGTGCGTTCCATTAACAGATTTAGGCTTCAGAAGGTGGCTAATAAGAAATTTCCGTGACTTAAAAGAACATGTTCTAGCCCAATGTTGGTCTGAAGCCCCCAGCCTGGACTGAGATGACTATCAGCATGGCTTGCAGGTCGGGCTGGGTGGGCCCTGTGTCTTGCCCATGCCACACATGCATGCATTTCCTGTTAGATCTGTGGCTTGGCTGCTCTTTGGAATTCCTTGTCGGGGACCGTCCGGGATGGGTAGGCACATCTGCCAGGGGTCTCTTGACCTGCAAGAGGGTCCCAATACCTGGAAGAGGGAGTGCGCCTGGAAAAATAATAAAGACAGAGAGAAAGCGAGGCGTCTGGAGGGCTGATAGGCTGTGCCTAAACAGCAAATTTTATTTTTCAAAGGCCAGGAATAAATACACTTTCTTGGCTCTGGTTTACGTCATAGGAAGAGGAAATGCAAATGTATACCTTACATGGCCTATACAAGAGAGAAATCAGATACACAATGGTTGCAAGAGGAAATGCAAATGTATACCTTACATGGCCTATACAATTGAAAAGTCAGGTACACAATTAGTGGTTGTAAAAAGTAACAGAATTTCTTGTGATCACAAAGCTTGTTTACATCCAGACATTATTCCTCCTGGCTGCAGGTATCTCTGGTTTGATCTTGTTGTAGAACTGAGATGTGAAAAGGTTTTTTGGTTTTGCTCATTAGAATATCTTTTAACCGGATTCTCCTTTGTCTGCTCCTGACTCAACTTAACTCAACTTCCCCATTCAGGAGTCTCTGAGTCAGAAATCAAAGCCATCCCTTATGGTGGCATTTGCTTTGCAAATATCGACAGTTAAACCATTTTCTAGGGTACAAGGCAGTCAGGTAAAGAAAAAGGTTGAAGGCTTATTCTTAAAGAGTCATAAAAAGGTTAAAAGCAGGAGCCGGTTGCTGGTAGGGGGTCACTCGGTCTAGCAGCACCGCATAGTTTTAGGCCCAAACGATATTGTGGTTGATATTAGAAACTGATCATTCATCTTTAAGTTCCTATTTTTCTGGATAGCTCGACTGCCTCCAGTAGGAAACTGTGTTTGGGGTCAAACTCACCATATAGTGAGACTCACGCCTTTTGGGGGTCTCACACGGGAATGTTCCTCACAATTCCTTGCATTGTTTAAGGTCCCACTGCTCAAAGCAGCTTCTGCTCAGATCGCTGGCTTCCACTACCCCCGGGTCCCCTCTCTCACAGCCGGACTTTAGACCAAGGTGACAGGTTAATTCCTCTGCGTATTTATAGCTATGATTTGACTTGGTTTGGGGCACTGATTCTGCTAATGTCCTCGCTTTGGACAATTGCCTCCTTTCTACGCCTCACTGAGAGCCCCAGCAAGCCCAACTGGCCCCTCATTTGCATCAGCACAGGTGGGGCTCCCAGCAGATGCTGAGGGTTCTAACTCCTTGTATCTCAGCAGAGGCCACAGAGAGTGGGCGTGCTCCATCGAGTGTACACTTTCACCCTGCACTGAACTCGAATGCCTATTTTTTCTTAATGGCTTATAAGGAATCCTGAACAGCCCTCTCCACCTCTTTTTCTCCTCGGAGCCATCCTAGGCACCCTGCTTCCTCTCTGCAGCAGCCCCAGAAAAGTTCCTGTAGCCTACAAGATGCTCATCTCCAAGAGGAGGCCATACGTCATTCTGTGCCAACCTGATCAGACAGCTTATGTGTGACCGTGGTCAAGTCCCTGGACTTACCATGCCTCAAGTTCTTGGCTTGGAATATGTGGGGCCTAAGGCTTCTCTCTGCTTTGAGAGGATATAGCTCTAATGAATACATGCTTCTAGGACATGACAGCCCTGTAGGAGTCATTTCTTCATATGCCCTAGAGAGGTGATTGTTCTGATTCTCTAAAATAGACTTCACAGTTTAAGGGCATCTGAACCATGGAAAAGAAAGATGTTTTGTACCTGAAAAGTTATTTGTTGGTCCCGGTTGGGGATGTTTACACCAGAATTTTGAAATATGCCCATTAATTAACTGATATGTGAAGAGTTACCATGTATAAGTTCCTGTGTTTAGTATTGAGTGGCTTCTGAGAAACAGAAGGGAATTATTTTGCTCCTGGATGAAAGGTGTGAAACAGAAGGTAGGTGCAAGGCAATTTGACATTTAAAAAGAAAGAGGTGGAGAGAGATCCAAGATGGCTGATTACTAGCAGCTCAGGATTGTAGCTCCCAGTGAAAGCACAGAGAACGAGAGGACACCACACTTTGAGATGAATTTTTGTTGCTCATGGACCAGGAGATTCCCAGTGGAGGAGCCCCACGGGTCGCCAGCACGACTCTTGGGGCTAGCGCGGCGGTTCTTGGTACAGAGTAAACGGGACTGGGTCCCCTTTTGGTCGATGTTTGGAGCTCCGGGAAGGCAAAGTCGCCTATTCAGCTGATTGAAAAGGGGACTCTAGAAGGAAGCCAGACTGGAGATTCCCGGGCAGAAAAGCATGATGAATCTTAACGCAGCTGTTTTCGCTGGCACAGTGGGTTGCTCAGATTCCAGTGCTGGGAATCAACAAGTTGGACATCCACTCAGAGACCTAATTTGAAAGTCAGTAATTACAAAGATGACAGGTGGATAAATTTACAATGATGGGAAGAAACCAGCGTAAAAAGGCTGAGAATACCCAAAATCAGAAAGCCTCTCCCTCTACAGGCGATCACAGTTCCTCATCAAAAATGGAAAAAGACCTGATGGAGAGCAAGTGTGTTCCATTAACAGATTTAGGCTTCAAAAGGTGGATAATAAGAAACTTCTGTGAGTTAAAAGAACATGTTCTAGCCCAATGTAAAGAAACTAAGAACCTTGAAAAAAGGTTTGATGAAATCCTAACGAGAACAGACAATCTAAAGAGGAATATCAGTGAATTAATGGAACTGAAGAATACAATAGGAGAATGCCACGAAGTATGCACAGGTTTTAACAGTCGAATTGATCAAGCAGAAGAAAGAATATCAGAGGTAGAAGACCAACTTAATGAAACGAGGAGACGATTAGAGAAGAAAGAGCAAAAAGGAATGAGCAAAGTCTCCAAGAAATACAGGACTATGTGAAAAGACCTAATTTACAATTGATAGGTGTACCTGAATGTCATGAAGAGAATGAATTCAAGCTGGAAAATATTCTTCAGGATATTATTCAGGAAAACTTTCCTAACCTAGTAAGGCAGGAAAATACTCAACTTCAGGTAATACAGAGAACACCACAAAGATATTCCTCAAGTAGAGCAACCCCAAGACACATAATTGTTAGATTCACCAGGGTTGAAATAAAGAAGAAAATTCTAAGGGCAGCTAGAGAGAAAGGTCAGGTTACCCATAAAGGGAAGCCTATCAGACTCACAACAGATCTCTCAGCTGAAACCCTACAAACTAGAAGAGAGTGGGGGGTCAATATTCAATATTCTCAAAGAAAAGAATTTTCAACCCAGAATCTCATGTCCAGCCAAATTAAGCTTCATAAAGGAAGGAAAAATACAATTTTTTGCAAACAAGCAAGCACTCAGAGGTTTCATCACCACCAGGCCTGCTTTACAAGAGCTTCTGAAAGAAGCACTATACACAGAAAGAAACAACCAGTATCAGTCATCCCAAAAACTTACCAAAAGGTAAAGAGTATCTCCATAATGAAGAATCTATATCAACTAATGGGCAAAATAGCCAGCTAGCATTAAATGACAATATTAAACTCACGAATATCAGTATTAATCCTAAATTTAAATGGATTAAATACCCCAATCAAAGAGACAGGCAAATTGAATAAAAAGTCAAAACCCATTGGTTCACTGTATCCAGATCCATCTCATAAGCAAGGACACACAAAGACTCAAAACAAAGGGTTGGTGGAAGACTTACCAATCAAATGGAGAGAAAAAAAAAAAAAAGAAAAAGAAGAAAAAGAAAACACGAGTTGTAACTTTCGTCTCTGACAAAATAGACTTTAATAGTAATAAAGACTAAAAGAAACAAAGAAGGACATTACATAATGGTAAAAGAATCAATGCAACAACAGGAGTCAATGATCATAAATATATACGCACCCAATATAGGAACACCCAGATACATAAGACAAGTTCTTAATGACTTATAAAGAGACTTGGACTCCCGCACAATAATAGCAGGAGACTTTGACAACACATTGTTAATATTCGATGGATCAACGAGATAGAAAATTAACAGGGACATCTATGATTTGAACTCAGACCTGGAACAAGTAAACTCAGTGAATATTTATAGAATTCTTCACCCCAGGTCCACAGAACATACATTTTTCTCAGCATTATATTACACCTATTTTGAAAGTGACCACATAATTGGAAGTAAATCACTCTTCACCATTTGCATAGCATTTCACAGACTCAAATGAAATATTGGTTGGCTGTTTGTTATTTTCTTCCTTTATTCCTTCCTGTCTCCGCTGTTAAGCACAATTATCGGCATAAAAGAGGTTTTTAATACCTATTTTTAGATTGCATTCCAGCCTGGGCAATAGAGCAAGACTCCTGTTCTCTCTCCCCCTTTCTCTTTCTCTTTCTTTCTAAAAAAAAAAAAGAAAGAAAGAAAGAAAGAGAGAGAGAAGTGCCTATATTCTATTAAAACAGGTAGGAGTCCATGTTGAGAATGAGGAATTGGAATCTTAAAGTAAGTGAAAAAGACGTCAAGACATTTCAAAAATAAAGGCATTAGAACAATAGTTAATTAATGTATTTCAAAGTGTTTTATGCATTTTAAAGCACACATCTAATGTATACATTTAATGCATTTAATTTGAAATGCATTTAATATAAAATACGCTTCAATTATTTTAAAGCAAGTATAATAAAAGAGAAAAGCTAAATCATTCTATGTATTAGAGACTATGCTATAGCAATAAAATTTATTTTAATCATATGTTTTTGCTAATACGTTTTCACACATAAAATATGAGCTATTAAATTATTTTATCCTTTTTAGCCATCCAGTTGGTGCACAAAACTGTAAGCACTACAAACATTAAATCATATTCTTTCACACACAATTTCACTCCTTTGGTTTTCAGTAACATCTACCACATCTATTTGAAACAGTCTCTGCTTTAAACTTTTGTAGAACATTCATGTTGCTCCCATGTGTTCTAACCAGGCTTCCAAACTGAAGGTTTCACAGTCACTCAGTGATTTCCTTGGATAGCTATTAATTTTGAGATCATCAAGAAGGCTCCCAGTGCTGGGCTCCCTTTAGGGAGAAAGACGTGTCTTTCAACGTTAAAAGAGGCGGATGTTCAATGGAGAAATATCTTTTGCCCTCTGGATACGCTTCTCCAATATGCTTTTCTACGTGTGCAAACATCCTCAAATCAAAACTGCTGTCCTCCCTAGATCTGCTTCCCTTCCCTGCTCTGTAGCTTCCATTAGTCCACTGCTAAATAATTGATCTAAGTAATCATTAATAACGATGATAAAAATAGTCATGGCAACACTGACAGACTGCTGAGTCTGTGCCAGGAACCATTGTAAGTACTTACATTTATTCATTTAGTACCCTTGGGAGACAGGTCCAATTATCATAAATTCAAAATTTACAGATGAGGAAACTGAGGGACAGAGAGATTGGATAAGGTTCCAGAGGTCGCAGAAGTGAACAGCAAACTCAGGATTGGAGCTCATGATGGACTGACTCCACAGTCCATCTCTTAACTGCCACACCATGCTGCCTTCATGCTAGGGGCATTTTAAATATGTAACTTTTGAAAACCAAGGGTTAATACAATCTGGCAAACATTTTGATATAAACATTCACACAAAATCAACAAATGTTTCAAACCATCAAAAGTGAAATGCCCAGATAATTCTCTAAATTAGAATTTGTGTCTCTTTTGAAAGATGAAAAGGTATTCTGGGGTCCTTTAAAGAAGTTCCCAAAATAGATCCACATAAGCAGGCTCTGCGTTGCAGGGCCTTATGGGACTTTCAAGAACCACTGGCTGCAACTGCGGCTGGGATACATTAAATGCATCCTGAGTCTGAGGCCCTGCCAGCCCCTCCTCCCACATCCCATGCACAACCAGATCCACAGTGTTAGGGAGAGAAAGCAGCATTTTAGCTACCCTGTCACCCACTGGTCCCTAGAAAATGCCTCTTCATGCGCTTAAAATCCCCTCATTTAAATTAATCACTGGGATTAAAACTCTTGGAGATGCGCCCTCTTTGTAAGGCATAGGTTACTTTGCATCATGCCCAGCTTCACACTTACTGAATATGGGATTAAGTATGAGCAGCTGCACCCACTTACGGAAGAGGGAGTAAAAGAAGAGCTCCATTTCTTTTGAATTCCAGGTCTTCTGGGAGCACATGGCCACAGCCCACAGCTCAACCTTCAGTCTTATTCCCGCCAACCTAATGACAAGTTTCATCTTCGAATTGTGAGCAGGATTTTTACAGTTAAACATTTAGAGTCACAGCCTTTGTAACAAACAGGTTCATATGCTCTGTCCCCAGAATATCTCGAGTGCTTTTTGGCATTCAGCGTTTCTGAAGATTAAGACTCTGAAAGAACAGGCAAGACTTCCAATTCGTCTCTACCTGGCTTGACTGTTTTTGCAGGCATTAAGTAAAGAAGATTCTTCCAGAACCTTGAGTTATAAGAAAGGGAATTTTTAGCCTTCCACTTCAGAACTCTGTGAGATTTCAAAAGCTTTAGTGATTGGGGCAAGAATGTGAAGTCAGTAACAGGTGCAAATTCAATTAAGATTATTTTAATTTTTCTTTCCACCAATGCTTCATGGAGTCCACTTTCAAGTTCATACCTGACCTCATTAGACATGTAACTTTTACTTAGGACAATGATTAGTCTTCGGCTTTTCTCTATCAGTGAGTGGATTTCATCAACAACAGCTGAAAGTGTAAAATGCACCATATTAATTTAAGATAACTGAAAGGGGCAGCATGAGATAAAAATCATTTTGCACAGTACTATTTTATATTATTTAACTCTTAATCTCATTAAATTTTTCTTTGAGACAAGCCATTTGTCCTCAATTTTATATGCTTCTTTAAAAAAATCTTTAGGTAACAATAATAATGAACACCTATTTAGCACTTAAAATGTGCCATACCTTATTTTAAATGTTTTTTGTATATTATCTCATTTAATCATCATAATATCCTGCAGAGAAGATATGGTTATCACAGCCATTTAACAGACAAGGTAGCCAGATGACAGAGTGGTTAAGTAACCTGCCTACCAGAGTCACACAGTAGTAAATGGCAGAACCAGAATCTGAACCCAAGTTGAATAAATTTTCCTAACTGTTATGCTATCCTGCTTCTCCTCAAGCATAAAAGAGCACGCTAAAATCAGCATCTAAAGATTAAAAGACAAAAAGGCACAACAAAACAAAATCATCCATTATTTTAGACCGAGGGTTGGCAAACTTTTCTACAAAGGGCCAGATAGTAAATATGTGAGGTTTTGCCGGTCACACTGTCTTTGTCACAACTACTCAATTCTACTGCTGTAACTCAAATGCAGAGGCAGGCAATGCGTAAACCCATGTGTGTGGCTGTGTTTCAATTGGCTGCAAGTGTGATGGAACCCATGGCTGGTAAATTGCCAACCCCTGTTCTAGACCTCTCACTGTTCTCAAATAGAGGTTTAACCAAACCTAATTACTACTGAATATTCAAACATAAGTTTTATTTATGAATTAAGAATAAATCTATTTTCAAGTAAGACCCCTAGAAAATAACAGAAATATGGTAAAATTGATGTATGGCCCAGAATAAATGCTTTCTAAGTAACGATATGCCTTCTTAAATGCGAAAAACACTACCCAAAAATACCACAATGCATGCATCTGATAATCTGGCATATTATTTTTTTGTCAAGTTCTTTATTACTAAACAGTAGTATAAGTTAGCAATATTTTCCCTTCTAATTTGGAATACTGGGGAGAAATGTAATATTTCTTTCTCACTGCTATATCTTTGATGCCCAGTTCGGAACTCAGCACAGGGATGGTTTCCAATTAATTTTAGATTAATAAATGAATGATGGTGGCAATAAAACATTTGGTTTTTTAAGCATCAGTATCCAGAATAATTTGACACCAGATTTTAAATGTCTGTTCTGGAAGTCTTCAAAGAAAACCTAAAAATGTTACTCATTTTTAAAAATTTTAACTATAATTTGCTTTAATATATGCACTATGGCCATTTGTATTCCTATTTTCATAAAATCATTGAATTTCATAGCTATGACCCGATGGGGATCACTCCTTCCCTCTTACTTTTCCCTTTAAAATTTTTCTATTTTCTACTTAAATTTCATAACCAACATCAACACAATAAAAATCATGCATTTTCTAGTAATAATTAAACCTGTGTTTATTTCTAGTAAGAATTAACTAGTCCACACATCACGTGTTAAATTAGGAACTGCTGTTGCGGTATAGACATTCTTTTTTTTTGAGAGGGAGTTTTGCTCTTGTTACCCAGGCTGGAGTGCAATGGCGCGATCTCGGCTCACCGCAACCTCCGCCTCCTGGGTTCAGGCAATTCTCCTGCCTCAGCCTCCTGAGTAGCTGGGATTACAGGCACGCGCCACCATACCCAGCTAATTTTTTATATTTTTAGTAGAGACGGGGTTTCACCATGTTGACCACGATGGTCTCGATCTCTTGACCTCGTGATCCACCCGCCTCGGCCTCCCAAAGTGCTGGGATTACAGGCGTGAGCCACCACGCCCAGCCGGTATAGACATTCTTACTGTGGGTCATTTCTGGATAAATGCTTCATGATAATACCAGCTCTGGACCTGGTTCTGAAAAGGAGATGCCCTCTTCCTTTCCCCAAATTTTCAGAGAGCCATAAAATACGTAGAACAGAGCCCAAGAGAAAAGACTGCTGGAAGTAGAGTAGTTTGTTTTCTCATTATCGATTGTCGACTTACCTGGTTATTTTTGGCTTAAAGGACGTTATTCATTTGTTTTTAAGGAAAATGGGATAGCTATCTGAGGGCTTGCCTAATCACTTTTTAAAAAGAAACTATCTAGAATATTTTTCTGTCTGGCATTCCCTCTTACCTCCTCCAGGTGCTACATCCCTTTCAAATATGCATAACTTATACCCAAAATGTTTCTCCAACACTCTGGGCAAAATCTCCACAGCAAAGGTGTGCTCCTCTCCATTTTCAGGTCGGCATTCTTTTAGGTAAGACACAAAAGCATCATACGTTTTTCCATCTAGGAAGTAAGATTGACATTTTTAATTCATGTGTAAATACAATTTTGTTTAAGTAAAAATATAAGTGAGTGTCGTAGATAATGAGGTATAGAATCATTGACAAAGAAACATTAAATATAAAGTTGTTTATATTTAAATCTCCCATGCTAACCAGGCAACCAATTAGCCAATGTGTTTTTAAGCAACTACTTTAAGATCACACTGCTTGACACCATAGAGGAATACAGAGACAGATGGGCCATAGATCCAGGCACTAAAGGAACTTAAATCTTCCAGCTTCTTAGAAATCCGAGAGCCCAAACGTGTCGTTCCAGGAGTGGAAAGCAAATCTCATCTGGTTTACTTGTGTCACTTAATTCTACCACCATCCCAATCTCTTAACTCAAAAAGACCCTCAAGAAGGTAAAGAGAGAAGCAGAGCAGTTTTCACTGTAATGTGGGAAAAAACTAGAGATGAATGAAACAATATGCTATAGGAACACATGCTTTGATATTTTTAAATATTGTAGAATATAGATGTCGAAAGGAAAACTTCTAATCCATTGATGATTTTCACTGATGATAACATCTCCTCTCATTTAATTTCTGATCATAGAACAGTACTCAGATGACTAACAGAACAAATTCAGTAGGAAATGTCTTTCCTAAGTAACAAAGACCATGCTCTTAACTGGGTAATTAAAACATGATACCACTCTCTCTTCTAGCTTCATCTAATCTGTTGGAGAAAGCAAAGCAGACCCATGCAACAACTTGAGAAAAGCTACAGGCAACACATTAGCAGAAGAAAAATGCCATAATAAACAAACAAACAAACAAACAAACAAAACACTAACAAAACTCACAGACAAAATAACCTGGCCAGAGACTAAAGAGTGATCTCAATGGACACGCTTTCTGAAAGGAGGAAATTTTGAGTCAGTCCTAAAAAATGCAACAGATGCTAACTGGGATCTGTAGAGAAAGAAGGAAAGCAGTGGGCAATGGTCTGTCTTTATCCTATGACAATTGTTTTGACCGGAGAGGGGTAAGATTTATGCATGGTATATTATCGGGAGTAATAAATTTGCTACGGAGTTACAGGCTGCATATCATTGCATCCCCTGTTAAAATCTAATAGGATAAAACCATTCCAGATCTACATTTCTTATGGTGCCACATCATTTATGCTCAACAGCCCAGCTGGACATCCTCCACAGCACTTAGGCTCACCAAATGACCCTTTCTGCTTCTGGAAAAAGCTTCCTCAGTTTGACCTACAGCATTCTGTTCAACAGTTTGGGTTAGAACCTATTGTTGATTTAAAGCAATTGCTTTGCAGAACTGCATGTTTTGAAAGATGAAAAATTTTGGTAAAAATTTTAGGCTTACAGAAACATCAAAGGTACAAAATGTTGGTAAAAATAAAAACAGTTATTAATCAGTGAGTAGGTCCTCTCCATACTTTTCTTAAAGTGCTATAAAATATAACTACTTACTAGTTAAGTAAAAGCTAGTGCTTCCACTAGGATTGTCACTGTGTCAGTGACAAAACAGACACTAACATGGAAGACAATAAAATTAGCACACATTTTTAAAAGGCATATTTTTCTTGTGATGTAACAAATTGCAATAAACTGGGAAGACAATCTCATCAAATGTGGGTTTATAGTACATGTAATATAGCTTTGCTCTTACCTATGAAAAATTAGCTTTTCAACTATTAATTGCTTTCAAATTTCTTATTTTAAGCAATTCTTTCAGTATATGTCTGCTAATTTATATTATGATTTATTTAAAATCCCAGGTAGTAAAAGGTTTAGTGGATTTGAGAATTGACAGAGTAAAGTGTTCAAAAGAAAAGGAATTTGAAAACTAATGGTAATTTTTTTATTCTTTATATTCAAACATAAAGGGAAATTATAAGGGAAATTGTAATTCAAATGGATATTTAGGACCTCAAGGATTAAATCAAAGTTTCTCAAACTATGCATGGTAAATGGCCATGTTTTAATTTAAATTTGCCTTTTTTGTTGTTGATTGATTAGTTTCATTTCCAGTCCTTCACAAACCAATACTGAACACTTTCTTAGATATTGCAGCAGTATTAAATTGCTATAAAAGTTTTTATTTTCAGACTTATATCTTCATTTCTGTCCTTTTCATGGACTGCATTTGTTCATGGACCATAATTTAATGAAAGTGATTTAGAGCATGTCTCTAAATGTCTCTGTGCACTGCCATATTGACAGTTAGGAAGTGTGAATTGAAAAAATTACCTGGAAATTATGTCAAACACAACTGGAGAAGAAAAAAAGAAATCTTAGCTCCAGAAAATCAGAAAGAGAGGAGCTAGTCAATGTCTATTTGAAGACAAACACTGGTCTATGCAAACACAGACCATTCAGAATATATCAAACACAGATTTCCCAGTTTGTTGCAGCATCCTCTCTCCCCATAGCAAAATCACACATGCACATGCAGGCTCAAAGCTAAATTCACTGACCTTGCTAATTTTATGTTGTTCAATTTAAAGTCTCAAATGTGAAAATTTTGAGAGGAACTATAAAAATCTCAGAGAAACTAATGTAATTTCTGTATAACTTGAGATTAGGAAGGCCGTTTTACTTATGACCCCAAATCCAGAAAGCATAAAAGATATATCTGAGTTTATTTTTCAAAAAGTCTTTATACAGCACACCACTAAAAGCAAAGTCAAAAGACAATTTACAGCCTGGGAATATTTGCATTTCATATTATAGTTAATAGGCTAAACTCCCTAAAATATAAATAGCTCCTAGAAATAAATATGCAAATTAAAGCCTTCACCTCATGGAACAGTAGGGAAAGGATATGAATGGATGTGTTGAGAAAGGAAATGCAACTGAGCCTTACGCAAATTAAAAGTTGCTCATACTCTGGCATAGTAAAGGAAATGCAAATTAAAATGTCACTTAGATACAACTTTTCACCTATCAGATTGGCACAACTCCAAATGGTTGTGGGTAAGGTTATGGGAAAAAAATTGCTGTCATCCTTTGAAGGCGGTAGGCAGGATGAACTGACGGTATCTATCAAAGTAACAGCCATGTCTCCCCTTGTTCCAGAATCTCCATTTTGGGGAATTTTTCCTTGAGACATACTGCATACATATAAAACGATAAAGCTGTCCATGACAGCAATTTTGTAATAACAAAAGATTGGAAGCAAGCCAAATGTCTATCAAAAGGAGGTTAAATAAACAGTGGTACCTCTACACAAATAAAATACTGTGCAGCCCTAAAAAATGAGGGACTTCTTTATAAAGTAACATGCAAATGTGTCTAAGGTATAAGAGAGCAAAGTTAAAAAGAGTATGCATATTAAGCCAAGATTTGTTCTCTTTAAAAGAAGGAGTGGTATAAGAATCCATATTTACATTATCAATGAAGGGGGAAGGTGGGAATCATAAATGTGGGACCAGGCTGGAAGAGGGACTTCCTGCTATATAATTTCATAGACATTTTTGAAGTTTTGGTTTTTTTTTTTTTTCCTGCAAACACACACATGCAAAAACAAAATCAAGTGCAATGAATTAGACTGACTTCCTTTCGATTAGTAATAATCTGGAAACCTGAGGACTTCTAGTCACCTTTAAATATAAAGAAACTGAGGCATAGAACTAGTGGGTCAACATAGCAGCAGATAAAAACTGGCATATCTAGAAGACCAGAAGCCAAATCATTTGGCTTCCAGCTTGGGGTTCTGACACATTCATTATGTAAGCTTCCTTTGCTAGGTTGAAATAATGAGCGATAGGACAATTCAATCCAACTTAAAGCAACTTTAGTCCAGGCGCGGTGGCTCAAGCCTGTAATCCCAGCACTTTGGGAGGCCGAGGCAGGTGGATCACGAGGTCGAGAGATCGAGACCATCCTAGTCAACATGGTTAAACCCCGTCTCTACTAAAAATACAAAAAACTAGCTGGGCGTGGTGGCGCATGCCTATAATCCCAGCTACTTAGGAGGCTGAGGCAGGAGAATTGCCTGAGCCCAGGAGGCGGAGGTTGCAGTGAGCCGAGATCGCGCCATTGCACTCCAGCCTGGGTAACAAGAGCGAAACTCCGTCTCAAAAAAAAAAAAAAAAAAAAAAAAAAGCAACTTTATTGAATATTATAAAGGTACTGAGGTGATCCGTGCACAGGGACATTCAGATATATACTTTCTGGGCTCAAGCATCTCCTAGGACATTTAGGAGGCTATGACATACATTATACGAGACAATCAGGACAATTTTGGGCAACACATAAGTAAGCACAAAAAAAGATGACACAAACAACATTCATTATGGATGGCACAGAGCAATATTTCCCAGAGAAAACCTCTCCCACAGATTAATTCTATGACAGCATAGCAAGAAGATGAAGATTAATGTCCATTTATTTGATTTCTTACTGAGAATGTAAGATAAGAAATCCCAGAATTACATGTGTTACCTGTTAATGTTTCATCTCTTCTCATTAAATGTCTATAAAATAGAACCAAGTCAACTCTATAAATGACACACACCGTCACTAGGCACACTACTGCCACCAAGGTCAAAACAGCTATGATCATTCCTCTTGTAAAGATGTGGCCTGGGATATCAGCCATGTCTGCTAGAAAAGAAGAAGAAAAAGGAAAAGAAAATAATCAAGAAATCTTACCAGTGTCGCCCATCATCAATCACGTGCTTGTCCATTTTTACTGTTAGCTTTAATGCAGTAATTGCCTAGCCAAGTGCTGACACATTCCGCTGAGCAACTCCACATTTCTGCCTTTAGTCTGGAGTAGTAATAATTCTACTCAAGTTTTTAAAAAATAAAAATGTGTACAAGGATATTTAGAGACCTGAAGTGAAAACATTATGCAGTATTGTATTCTACCTGTACCAGTGGAAATCAGATTTCTCAGGTGAAGAGATACTAAGCTGAAATACATAGGGATTCACAGAAATCTTAGCAAGTGGGTTGAGAACATAAATAGAGGTGAATGGTTTTGAGAGAAGAGAGAGAGAGTACTGGATTGACATTTGTCTGGGTTTGTAGCTGGGCTCCATCAATTATTTTGTATTGTAGGAAAAATCATGGATGCCCCTAAACCTTAGTACCTTCATCTATAAAATGAATATACTAACAGTTCCTGCTTCACTTCTAAGGCCGCTCCTTTGGGGAAGATTAAATGAAATATTACACAAAAAGTAGTTAATACAGCACACAACTCTTGGAATTTTAGCAAGTTCTTTGTATAAAAGTGCCACTTGGAAAAAAAAGTTACATTTTTTAGATTGATTCCATTTATGCTCATTATGGACAATATAAGATAACACAGATGAATAAAAAAAATAAAGTAATTTTTAACAACCGTTCACAATGTGATGAAGGCTGTGTCAACATGATGGAATATTTCCTTCTGGGTTTTCTTTTTGTCTCTTAAAGTTTTTACTTAATTGAGATCATACGGTAATCACTCATTATTTCTGAATTTTTTTTTTTTTCCTTTTTTGAGACAGAGTTTCGCTCTTGTTACCCAGGCTGGAGTGCAATGGCACGATCTCGGCTCACCACAACCTCCGCCTCCTGGGTTCAGGCAATTCTCCTGCCTCAGCCTCCTGAGTAGCTGGGATTACAGGCACGCGCCACCATGCCCAGCTAATTTTTTTGTATTTTTAGTAGAGACAGGGTTTCACTATGTTGACCAGGATGGTCTCGATCTCTTGACCTCGTGATCCACCCGCCTCAGCCTCCCAAAGTGCTGGGATTACAGGCGTGAGCCACCGTTCCCAGCTTACTTCTGAATATTATGAGCATTTCCATAGGACATTAAAATTATAATTCATAATATCCTAAAATTTAGATTGATTGGAATTTGTAGTAAGTATACATAAAGTTGCAGTCCATTTTATATGTCTAATATAAATGTATACATGTGTATTTATATAAATGTATATGCATGCATGTATATGCATATACATTTGCATGTGTATATATATACATGTGTGCATGTATATATGTATATATATATACAAAAATGCATATACCTTTATCCGTATTTCTAATTCTTTTTTTAAAATGCATTGTAATGGTGGGGGCATCTCTAGGTCAGTAAGTATAAACGCGCTTAAAACTTTTGCCATCTTGGTACAATGTTCAGAAATTATCTTTCCATGTCTTTCCACTATGGATTCTGGTAAGCTGCTAATGTTGCTTAATAAGTGAGCTCTTGACAGAGCCAGGGTCTGGAGCTCCTGTACCTTTGCAAGGACTGCAGAGTTATAACTGTGTCACACTTTTACACAGACACACACACACACACACACATTGACAAGCAATTCCTTCCAGGGTAATGGTGGGTTGTGAGCTCCAATTCCTAAGCCTACATTTGTGAGGACGTAGGACGCCAGCCGCCCGAAGAAGCAGGAGAACTGACAGGTTAGAAGTGTCTAGGGCAGGAATAGGACACTCCTGCCCTGCTCTAAGAGGGGAGAGGCAGCTGGTGGTGAGCAGGCCCCAGGAAAGCCTGCCCAGGGAATGGTCCAACAAAAATAAGATTTGAGCCCCGCTCCCTCAAGAGTGAGTGGACCACAGTGCAGGCATTCACACAGAGGTGGAACACCATCTGCGAAAAGCCTTGTGGAAGGTAAGAACACAGATTCCAGTTCAGAGTTTCAATATCTTCACCTGCCGTGTGACCTTGGGTAGGTTTCTTCACCTCTATAAAGCTGTAGTTAAGACTGGATGAGATCATGGGGGGAGCTTCGCCAGATCCTGTCATGTCATGACCATCTATGGAATGTGAGCTGTTGTTATGAGTGCACGTGGTAGAAAGGCGGCCCCTGGGCACCAGGATAGCCCAGCTGGAGGGGCTTTCCAGCCTTTGTGCTCTTCCTATCCCACTCCTTCCATTTGCCACAAAACCAAGGCCCAGTCTGTGTGTGTGGCTCTCTCTGCATGTCTGTGTGTGTCTGCTGTGTATCTCTCTCTCCATTACTCTGTCTGTTTCACTCTAATTTCTCTGTCTCTGCATCTCTTCATTTCTCTTTCTATCTCCCTCTCTCTCTGTTCCTCTAGATGTGTCTCTTCTTGTCTCTCTTATTTCTCTGTCTCTCTGTGTCTCCATCTCTCTCTCTCTCTCTCTCTCTCTCTCTCTTTCTGTCTTCATCTCTTCAGAGTTGTCTGTTTGTCCCTCTGTCTCATGTATCTCTGTCTGCTCTCTCTGTGTCTGTCTTTCTCTCTCTGTGTGTGTCTCTGAAGGCGTTAGTCTCTGTCTCTCTCCCTGTCTCTCTCTCTTGCAGATCTTGCCTTTCCCTACATTTCCAGGGAGTTGATGGTGGAGCCTGGGAATGAACAGTGAATGAGTAGTGACAACTGGAAACCACAGCTTTCTGGCTCCAGTGACAGCCATTTCTGAGCAGCTACTGGGATGAAGGCCCTGGGCTGCGTTACTCTGTTGGATGAAGGGGATGGCGATCCTGGGGCCCTCCATCAGTTGGGCACTGAAATCAATAGCCCACAGATCGGGGCTATTGATGGTCTGCTTGCCAAGTCCAGAGTCTGACCCAGGATAGGGGCACAGTCAATCCTTGTTGAATGAATGTGTACACACAAAGCCCCTGAGCCTGGTGCCCTGCTGAGGCTGCTTGGAGCAGCAGTCACACAGAGCATATGCTGGCTTCACCCCACACGGATCTGCAAACTCCCTCTGGGTGCAGTGCTGGGTGCAGGGGCTGTCCTAATGGCCTCCCCAGGAACCTCACTTTCAGCATCTGCATGCCCAAGCTTCAACTGCTGTCCTGCTCGGGCCCCCTGATTTCCACATAAGGTGGAATATGACTGTGAGAGCAAGTGAATGAGTTTGTGTTTTCAATCTCTGCTTGGCGTCATGAGACAGAGGGGCTCCGCAGAGCTGAACACCAGCTCTGCCACTGAATGCCTATGACACAAGGTGGCTGATTTCCCCTCCCAGGAGTTGGGTTCTAATGTGGAAAATGAGGACGTGATCACCTTTGAGAGCTCTCTCAGCAGCAATGAGCTAAGATTCCTCGAACTTCCAAAAATAAATCTTTCTCACCGTTTCTCACCAAGATGAAGCTTTTGGTGTCCGTGCCTCCTGTGCTGGTCACAGTGCAATTATATGCAAAATTTAGATTGTGTTCAGCAATATTTTCAATTCTCAATGCTTTTGAAGCATGCCATCTCCCTTCTGAAGTCCTGTAAGAAAAGAAAATAGTTTAGCAGTAGGCTTTGTTCTTTGCCCATGAGAGGGGAATTCATACGTTTAAAATGCTCGAAGGTAGCTACAATGTTGCCCGCGTTATTTCCCCCCTTTTTGGTCAGTACTTTTAAAGCGTGGACTACAATAAACCCTGCCTCATCCGTGGGACATCAGAACTGACAAAAACAGCCCTCATGAGGCCATTTGGGCACTGTGCTGTCAAATACCTGGCTGATGATGAGATATGCTGGCAGGATATCCACAATGTTCAACTGAATTCAACATGTATTGGGCACGATCATATGCCTGCTCCTGGGCAACTAGCCAGACTTTATGTAAAGAGCTTGTAGACAAGTGTCAGCAAGAATGTAGAGCTGCCAGCATGGTAACAAAGAATGTACCAAAAAATGTGTAAAAAGCAGAAAAAAAAACTCAACAAGTGTAGCTAAGGTGCTAGACAACTTAGTCTGAGTCGTGTATCAGTACAATAATGAATGATTACAGTACGAGCCAAAGTCATTCAGAAAGCCTTAAGTGACTATATGTTTCAACTGTTTTTTTTTTTATAAGTCTGACCATTCCTTAATGCAAGAATATAGGCTATTTAATTATCAATATGCATACAGTTTGGAACCTTTCTGGCCTATTAGAAAAATAAACAACTTAAAAAATTTTTCAAAAAAGAAAAAAACCATGGCCTAGGTAACTGCCCTTTTCTAAGAAGGTAGGTAAAATCCCCATCTCCATCAGATCCTGACTGACCAAATGCAACTTTATAAGGTGATGCTAAGTGCCCTCGCTGGCCTTCTTATGGACCTTCTTTTCCAGCTTGGATCTTGGCAATAAATTTCTGCCTAATCCAACCACCTAGGGTATGGCCATCATAATTATAAAATATGCACATTAAAATTATAATTTAAACTAGCCCAATATACATCAGCCACCCAGTGTTTTTAATATGATATTATATATAATATGATTGTTATATGATATATATCATGACATATATATTATATATACATACATAATTCTTATTTCTTTCTCTTCATGTACATTAAGATCCAATCCATTGTCATACATCCAATAAAGTATATCCTTTTGATTCAGCAAAGCAGAGCAGTTGAGGCTTACATCTTTTCCTGGTAAAAGTTGGCAACTAAAGTTCTGATTTTAGAAACTCAGGTTTCTTAAAAGTTTCAAAACAATATGATCAATGTATGTTAACCTAATGCAAATCATGATGCTGCATCCCAGAAAGAGAATAAATATGCCTTGTTTTAAATTGAAAGAATACATAAAGCAGAAGAATTAGGTAGCAATTACAAGCCATCACCAAAATATGATTTGGCTTCTTTTTGAACATTTTTTAAAATCGACTATTAAAACTTAAGGTGATCAGTGTATTTTCTTTTCAGTATACAGTTTAGTAGGTAGTAGCATCAGGACAATACTCTCACTGAGACTTCTTGATAAACCAAATGGATGAATCCAAAAAAAAGTTAAATTAAATGAACATTAAAGACATCAAAGTGCAGAGAAAATAAAGATAAATTTTTGTACTAAAAATGTACTAGGGAAGGATTCCTTCCAGGGTGAGCTAAGAGAGGTAGCCATTTCATTCCATGGAGGAATTTGCTTTGGTTTGGAATAAACAGAAAGAGTCTCATAGAGACAAGAACATCCAGTGAAGCTCTCAGAAGCTGCACAGGCTTGCAGAATTACTGCTAAGTGCTCAGACAGTGTAATAAGCTGTATAGGCTGCATGATATCACTTGCAGTTTCATGGTAATCAGGAAAGCAAGTCTTATCAGAGAAAATGGCTGCAACAAACACATGACCGCAGCAACCCCTCTCCCCACAGCTATCAGAGATGAAGGCAGATTGGATCTAATGTACCTACATCCCAGCCACCCCAGCTCAGTTCTGAGTCAACTGAGATACTCAAACTCTCATACTACCTACTTGTAAGAAAAAATAACACAAACTGTATTTACTGTAATTGTTTCATACACAAAGATCAACAATAAAAAGTTAAGAGACACACAAAGAGACAGAAAATGTGCACAATAATCAATAGAAAAGATAGATAATAGAAGCAGACCTACAGATGCAGAATTTAGCAGATAAAAACTCGAAATAACTGTTTGAAAGAAAATAGAGAAAGAGATGAACAAGTGGATGGAAATAAGATCATTTTCAACAAAGTGTAATTTATTTTAAACAGAATAAAATGAATATTTTTATATCATGGATATATGATATACCAGCTATAACAGTAATTTTAAATATACAGATGGACTAAACATCATGCTAACCAGATTTCAAGAAAGATCCAAATACATGCAGTTTATGAGAGACATTTATGTATAGAACAAAAAAGTTAGTAGTAAAGGGATGTAAGAAAAGAAAAATATGCCAATTCCAAGCAAAAGAAAACTAGTGGCTATTTCATATGACAGAGCAATGCATTGAGAAAGGAAATATTATGATAGATAAAGAGAGATATTTCATAATGATAAAAGTGTCAATTCAACAAGCATAAATCGGTGTATGCATATAAGATAGCTCCAACATATATAAAACAAAAATTTACAGAACAAAAGGAGATAGAGCCAAATTGACCTTGATAGTTGGAGATATTCACATGTCTCTCTCAGCAACAGATAGAACAAGCATGTAAGAGATTGGTAAGGATATAAATTTTTTGAACAGCACCATTAACAAACCAAATTGACATTTAAAGAATAATAAAACCAAAACCTATAGACTCTACCTTTGTTTCAAATGCCCTTGGAACATTCAGCAAGATATACCATATTGTAGGTCTTAAGTAAGTCACTACAAATTCCAAAAGGTTGAAATGACACTGTGTATAATCTTGGACTATAATGAAACTAAAGAGGACATCAAAAAGAGACAATGACTAGAAAGTTTTCCAAATATTTGGAAATTTTAAAACAACAATATTTTTTTGGTGGAAAAACAAATTACAAGGGAAATTTGAAGAAATGGTTTAAACTGAATAGTATGAAAATATGAAAAACAGCTAAAGCAGTGCTTACTGGGAAACTTGGAGTTTGAATGTATATATTACCAGAGGAAAATTAAAATTAATTATCTAACTCTTCATGTGTACAAACTAGAACAAAAGGTACAAGTTAAGCCCCACTGAGCAGAAGTAAAAATAACAAAGACAAAGAAATAAATAAAAATATAGAACAGGTAAACCTCAGGTATAAACGGCATAGGACCCCAGCTGCACTGGGCACTTACGGTCATATAAACCACTGTGGCTCCAACTGTGGTTATAAGATGTGGACTTTGGAAGCAATCAACAGTGACTGCCACTTTTCAGTGATTTGACTTTGGACACGTTGCTTACCCTTTTTGCACTTCAGTTATTTAATTCATAAAATGAGAATACATGCCTCAGTGTTGCTTGGAGGATTTAATTCAATAACATATCTCAGTGACCTAGCAGGATACCTGGCTTAGCATATTTAGTATATGTGAATTTCTTTCTTTCCTTCTTTTTTCCTTCTTTTGAAAGAAATTACTCAATTGGACATGTCCATTCATAAGATCTAGCTAGACAAAACCTAAATATGCATACAGTCAATTCAGTCAATTGATTCAAAGTCAATCAATTAATCAAACATTCAAACCACTAAGTTAGTTTGAATCATCTCTCCAAAATGTTCTCATTGATTTTTTTTTTTTTTTTTTTTTTTTTGAGACAGAGTGTTGCTCTGTCTCCCAGGCTGGAGTCCAGTGGTATGATCTTGGCTCATTACAACCACTACCTTCTAGGTTCAAGCAATTCTCCTGCCTCTGTCTCCTGAGTAGCTGGGACTACAGGCACGTGCCACCATGCCTGGCTAATTTTTGTATTTTTAGTAGAGATGGGGTTTTGCCATGCTGGCCAGGTAGATCTCGAATTTCTGACTTCAAGTGATCTGCCTACCTTGGCCTCCCAAAGTGCTGGGATTCCAAGTGTGAGCCACCATGCCCAGCCTAATTTTTTATATTTAGAAATGACCATGAAGACAGTTAAATAAAAGCCACACACAGGCAGTGAAAACAGTCTATAGACCACAGGCAGTTCCACTGTCTCTTGAACTTTAAAATGTTTCCTCTTTTAAGTCAGGTTAAAAGTGGCAACATTCAAAAAATGCCACCCTTTTTCTAGTTTTGTAATGTTATTCACTAAATATGAAATGTGTATCTGGGGCCATTCAATAATGAATCATATTTACCCTTGGAAGACTGTATTATGTCCCTTACTCATAAATATAGAATATACATCTGTTGGAGTATATACCTAATTCCACTGCAACATGATTAAGCTTTGATCCAAGAAGAACCGGAACTATGTAACTGCTATCTAGAAGTGACAAAAGAAAAGACAAATATATTAGTGTTGCCTTGAGCTTCTCTAAGACAAGCATCTATTAGAATTTGCACATTTCATGTAACAAAGATTCCAGTAGTCGGCAGTTTGTGTTCACTTGAGTCCTATTTGCATTAACTAAAGGTTGCAGATATGTTGTTTGTTGTTTCATTTTCCATCAACTCCCTGCTCACAGAGATGCTTAAAGCACCTTGTACCTGGTTTCCTCTCATTCAAATCCGCAGCTTCTGCTCACTTTAACTAAAAGGCAGAGGAAGATGCCCCTCCACTGCTGCCTGACTTCCAGACGATCAAACATGCAGGACTTGGACCATGCAAAATCACTGGGAAGAGCCTTTCTGCTCTGTCGTGATTCCCTCCATCTGTCCTCCTCAGCTGGCCTGTGATGGATTTACAGGGCGTGGGGCCAAGACAGGGTGAAAAAAGCAAATCCCTCTAGGTGTCCACTGTTCCCTGGCAGGATGCTAAGAGCAGTGTCCCTTCCATATTGTGCCCCAGGGGCCTCACCTCAGCCCTGGCCCCTGTTGGTTAAGTCCATAGGCCAAGTTCTACTTTTGCTCCTGAGTGGCTTCTGACCTCGACTGGAAGGACTGCACATAAATCCTGTCTTCTCAGTCCCCATCTGGTGAGGCTTGGGAAGTAAATCATCACTCAGCAAGCTCTTGTCTAAGGCAGCTGACAACTGCAAACCCTAAGAGCAGCTGTGGTCATAAATTTAAACTGGTACATGGTTAAGTTATTGTTGACCCTGACATCTGCATTGGTAATGTTCCTCATGACCAGAACTGTTCCCTTCTAGTAACCACGGTGCTTTGGGGGCATTTCCAAGCAGCGTCCAGAGCAGCCCTTCTGGGACTTGCGGGTGCTCAGCAAGCAGAATGCCTGGTCAAGTGGAGTATAGTGGGACTCAAAAGCTTTCCTGCAGCTTCCACACCTCCGTGAGCCCTCTCAGAAAGTGCAGTGCCATGGAGTGAGCAGTTGAGGATGCAGTGGGCAGACATGTGAGCAAGAACAGGAGAATGAAACCAGCACAGTTGACCCTGAGGTTTAGAGTCTGGACTGGGTTCCCCAGGATTCAGAGTCTCTGGGCAAGCCTGAAATTCTGGCAGACAGGCAAGAGGAGCTGAGATGTATCTAGGGAAAGAACTAACTCTCAGGTCTGGCAGCCTGAAGCAACATGGGCTTGAATTCAAAGACAAAGATGCAGGAGGCAATTTCTGTATAAAGGGGAAAACTGCTACTGACTACCTTTCTCTGGATCAATTTTTTCCCCCTGAAACTTGCATGGAAGATTTGAGAAGGGGAAGTGTGAAGAACATCTTAAGCAAAGGGTGCTGTCTACTAACACTCAAATTATATCACAGGAAATCCAGATCAGCCCTGAGTTGGCACAACTGGTGTAAAGCGAAGAATGCAGTCCCACATAGGTCACAAAAGGAAGACAGCACCTTAGTGCATCCCCTTGACGTGACCGGTCTACATAGGACACTAGCATCAGAATCAAAATGGCACAGAGGTGGTCAGCAGTTAGAGGAGACACCACCAGATCAGCCAGAGCATGAGACCAGGAAAGTGGCAGATGTCCGGTGGAAATTCGGGTAAGTGTGATTCACGAGCATGAGCTGAAGGCAATGGTACTCCTGGGTTCCAATAACAGTGCCCAAAGTATGGTGTTTTGGCAGGTTGAGTACTTTAAACTTAAGGACATTGGAAGTCCTCAAAGCAGCCTCAAAATCAAGATTTCTGTGACCTTCTCCTGCTTTGTGTCCCCATTCTCCCCAAAGCAAGTCATAGAAACCAGACTTCTTCCCAAAAGCAGATCATAAAAACTAGAATCCTTTTCCCCAAAATAAGTCATAGAACCAGAAGCATGACTCTAATCTTCTGCCTTTCTGTCCAGGACCTGGCTAAAAATTTCTTTGACCTTCTTTGGTCTGACAGTAGGTCTTAATACCATCTGCCCTCTATCCGGGGAAAAGAAATATAACAGAGAGGCCAAAAAGAATCAGAGCAGACAGGTCTTCCTGGGTTTTGCCACTCAGTCTATTACCCAGGAAAAAAGAAAGGTAGCAGAGAGGCCAAAAAGAATCTGAGCAGACAGGTCTTGGTGGGTTTCCCCACTGAGTCTATTAGCATTAGGTCATACCCTTTTGCCCAATCACATTTCTATGTGGCTGTCCATTCTTCTAGAGCCTAAGGACTTAAAAAGAAAAAATGGTTTTCCCTGAGTCTTGGGGAAAGTCTTCCCCAGTCTTTCTTCCTTTCTTCTACCCTTCCTTCCTTCCTTCCTTTCCTTCTTCCCTTCCTTGCTCCTTCCTTTCTTTTCTTTTTTCTTTCTTTCTTTTTTTTTTTTTTTTTGATTGAGTCCCACTCTGTCACCCAGGCTGGCATACTATCAGCTCACTGCGACCTCCTTCTCCTGGATTCAAGCAATTCTCCCTGCCTCAGCCTCCCAAGAGGCTGGGATTATAGGTTCTGCCACCACGCCAAGCTAATTTTTATATTTTTAGTAGAGATGGGTTTTCATCATGTTGGCCAGGCTAGTATCAAACTCCTGGCCTCAGGTGATCCACCCACCTCAGCCTCCCAAAGTGCTAGGAATACAGGCATGAAGCACAGCACCCAGCCCTGGGATCTTCATTTCTGAAGGCTTCCATGTCACAGAAAAGTTTGATTAAATAAATTTGTTTTGCTTGCTTCTTTTTAATCTGTCTCTTTTATGGGAGCATTGTCATGACCCTTATGATGGGGAGGAGAGGTATCACACCTTTCCACCACTACAGCAGTCACCATGTGGCAGGTAAGAGATCTCCATCTGTGATGGCAAGTGTACCATAATAAAGACACAACGTGGAGAAGGCAGGAGCCCAGCCCCACTGTCCTCAACAAAGGCCAGAACACCTCCTGACGGTCGTCTCCAACTACAAGCTCTAATTTCTGTAAACTGATGGCAACTTTACCAAATCCAAAAACATAGCTAAGATGGTGAAGCGTCTAGGCCTTTTGTTGTATGTAGCATGGAAGGAGTTGTTGCTCTCTCAATAATGCACACAACAGACATGTAATGAGCACCTGTTACATGCCAAGTGCCAGTCATAGGTATTCAAGATGCAAAGATGAGGAGCAGAACTCAGTGCAAACCTTTCCAGACACTTTTCAAGTTATTGACTGAGACACACATGTAATGGAACTCTGACAGCAATCAGAAATACAAACAAGAGGTTATGGGTGCATGAAGGAGAGGGTCATTTGAGTGGAGTCCTGAGAGATTCAGCTGACATTCTCCAAGGAGACAAGAAAAATAAGATGGACAATTATGGAAGTAGAATATCTTGTGCTGCAGGTGAGGTATGGGAACCCAGCAGTGGGATATGGTCATTACAGCAGAGCTCTTCCTCTCCCTGAAGCCATCCTAGAGCTATACACACACTCACTCACTCAGTCATCGTCAACTAGTCCTACAGGGGATGAACCATTACCGTCCCATTTCATCATGAGGAAGCTGAGGCAGAGAGGAACTAAGGAAATTAACTCACCCAAGGCCACAGCCTCACAGAACTGTTGTGAGGATGATATGAGACGATTCAACTCAAGTACTTGGCACAATCCCTGGCCCATAGCAAGTATCCTTTTAATAACGGATACTCTTATGGCTTCGTCAAAGAAGGAAGGAAAGTTGCTGATGGGTGGAAAGCAAAGATGGTGGGAGAGAAGGTGTAGGTTCTAAAAGAATCAAAGGAATAGAGATTTATGTAAGAATAAAAATACATGTAAAAAAGTAAAATTAGTGATTATAGGGTAGATGATTTTTTTTTTTTTTTTGATTCAATCTCACTCTGTCACCCAGGCTAAAATGCAGTGGCGTGATCTTGGTTCACTGAAACCTCTGCCTCCTGGGTTTTAGCAATTCTCTGCCTCAGCCTCCTGAGTAGCTGAGATTACAGGCATCTACCACCATGCCTGGCTAATTTTTGTATTTTTAGTAGAGACAGGGTTTCACCATGTTGGCCAGGCTGGTCTTGAACTCCTGATCTTGTGATCCACCTGCCTCAGCCTACCAAAGTGCTGGGATTACAGGCACGAGCCACTGGCCCGGCCCAAGGTAGATGATTATACATGGAATTTACGTTTCTGAGTTTAAAATTTCAGTTTTGGATTTCCTAGACTCTGGGCTGTGGCAGGCAGAATAATAGACCCCAAAGTTTCCCACATCCTACTCCCGAGTTCTTGTGAATATGGTATGTTACACGGCAAAAGGAACCTCTAGATGTGATTAAATTAAAGATCTTGAGACAGGGAGATCATCCTGAGTTATCTAGGTGCGCACAATGTAGTCTCAAGGTCCTAATCAGGAAGACAGAAAGGTCAGAGTCAAAAAGGAGATGGGCTGAGGGAATCGAATGTGTTTGACTCCGAAATGAAGTGGCACAAGCCAAGAATGGTAGGAGGTCTCTAGAAGCGGGAAAAGGCAAAGGCAAATAAATGTATTTTCCCCTAGAGCCTCTGGAAGTAGTGAATCCTGCCAAAACCTTGATTTTACCCCAAAAGACCCTAAACTTGGGGTAATTTGTTACCCTGGCAATACGTGGGTGTATATCACTACACGGTTGTAGTGAAGAGGAAAGATGCTGCTAGAGAAAAGGCTGTACCAAATGCGAGCCCACAGATTTTGCTGAGCAAGCCACCCACACAGGTGTTACAGTTTCTAGTTCCTCATGATGATGGACAGGGGAAGTCTAGGCTGGATAAACCATTGTCTTCAAATCATCAAAGGAGCTGTCATTTTAAGAAGGGACCAGACTTAATCTATGAAATTCTTGAAGGCAAACGAAAATCAGTGGTTGGAAGCTACAAGAAGGGAAATGGACTCAACAGAAAAAAAAAAGACTTTGACAGTCAGATACTAAAATGTGGATTAAGCTGCTGTGTGATTTGGACATTTCCTTGGTAGTTTCCAAGAAGGGACTGGATGATCAATTATTGGCTGTGCTTTATGATGAATATCTTCACTGAGTGAGGTTTAATTAAATACCTTTAATGTCCCAGGATTCTGTTCTTCCACCACACACAGCCTGGGTCCTTACACTCTCTAAGCCAACAGCCCTTTCCCCAGCAGGTCTTCCCCCATTCATGAGGCTCCCCCTCCAAGACCAAGGTCACATGGAGTCTCCTGCATCTGTCCTTCCTCCAACTTCCCCCTGCACTCTTGCAGCCTCACAGGTGATGCTGTTTGATACGGTGGCACCTTCATGCAGCTTATTGCCTCTCCTGATTATAATCAAATCCCTTGAGAATAGTACAGTGCTCACTACATCTCATATTTCCTTGCTTCCCTGCCTCGCTGTGCTAAGTACCGTTTATTGACTACAGATGTCTTCAATAAATATTCATGGAGTGAAAATGTAAATTTAACAACAAAAGATTCCAGAATTTACTCAAAGATCATATGAGAAAGAACTGACTTATGTGTGGTTTATTTATATAGATTTTCATTTCCTTCCTAAAAAGAGGTTGTTTTTCAGCCAAGTAGAGGTCCACCAAAATGAAGATTTTGACCCTTGTATTTGAACTAGTGATGTGGTCACAACCCCAACTAAGTGGGTTCTCAATTCCTACGCAGTTTTGAAGAATGAAAAAATTCCATTTTACTAAAATACATCTGCTTCTTCCCAATTCTAAGATTTCCCTTACCTCCCAATACTGTTATATTGAAGGTTTTGGTGATGTTAAATAGTTTTCCATTGTGATGAAGGAAATGCACGCAGGAGTAATATCCCTGATCTTCAAACTCAGCATTCTTCTTTATCACTGGGTTTTCCTTGTTCTCCAGTAGCTTTTTACAGTTCTGTTTTTAAGAAAGCAAGTTAAAATACTTTAAGTAAAAGCCGAATTCATATTACAATTATCCAAATTTTTGAGTTAAATATCTTTAGAGAAAAAGGAAAAAAGAATGGAAAGTAACAATTCCTGCATATATGTCCGTTACTTGATACTACTTTTACCAAAACAATTAAAAGTAGTGCCATTGCTGTTGTTATGATTGTCATTATTAATAGATACTGGGAAGTACAGCATGGGGAAATAGAAGCATTGTAGCTGCTTTCGTCAGTTTCCTTTCACCTCTCCTTTACACGCGTGCACAGAGATACAAACAGAGAGGCAGAGACAGAGAAAACACTGCAACAAAAATCCTTGCTTGAGTGACATCTCTGTTTCCCACATGTTCATTCCAATTTTGTGTATTCCAGACCATGCTTCCCAGGGTTGGGTAGTGGAGTGGGAGGAGAATTACTCAGAGAACTGAGTAGCTAGCAGACCACCCATGCCCTTAACACCCTCTACCAGAAGCCAGCAAGCTGATTAGAAATGTTGAACAATGAGAACACACGGACACAGGGAGGGGAGCACTACATACTGGGGTCTGTTGAGGGGAAATGGGGGAGGGACAGGGAGTGGGGAGGTGGGAAGAGATAGCATGGGGAGAAAGGACAGATAAAGGTGAGGGGACAGAAGGCAGAAAACCACACTGCCATGTGTGTACCTATGCAACAATCTTGCATGTTCTTCACATGTACCCCCAAACCTAAAATGCAATAAAAAAAAAGAAATGCAACAGTAATATTCCAATCCATAGGTACACTCAAACTTCTCTACCTCACACACACACATTTTCATACATGTCACAGGAATTAATACTAATTGTAATAAATAATATCACTTTCTTCAATCCAGCACATCTGATCCAGAGGTAGGTCCCAGAGCCATCCAAGGACCACATGGGAAGGCTGAGGGCTGAATGGTCATCCTTGACCAATGGACACTGTTTCTGCAAACACCAGGCAGACAGAACCTACTGCCCACAGACTTCTTCCTCAGAGCTGGCAGCCACTGGGGCTAGACCCATTGTGCATAGAATGTGCCATGAAGCACCCACATGTGTACCTCACATCAGTAAATTATTTATGTATAAGTCAAAGTTTTATAAAACCAGACTAATTTTTCCAAGCTGTGGAAAAGATCAGAGACTCTTCACTTTCTTTTCCAGTCAGTGGTTTACTGATTTGCCCTCCTTGCTCTCAGGTGAAGTCATGGTCAGTCAACAGGCTTAGAATACTTAGCCCTGTGGTCAATTGTTTAGCTAAACATCCTTGATGCACTAGTGTTCTTAATTTAAATACCTGTATTTTGGAATTTCTTAAAACTTGGCACACTAAGCCTCATTAATTTAATTGTACTGTAATACATTTGTACACTGATGGGAAATAGAGTCGAGTCAACTCAGGACTGATTCGAATGTTTAGAAAACATTTCAGAATAAGAGCTGTTTTTGAAAACCACAAGTAAACAGTGCTCAAGCATAAGATACAAACAAAAGTTTCAGGGAAATCATCACTTGTTTCAGCTTTCCCAAGTTCTGTTCAGACCACTCTCTCTTACAGCTCTTTAAAGTTTCCATGACAGAAGCACATTATTCATATTTGTTATTCAATATAAACTACATCAGCTGTCCCTAACCATCTTGACACAGAGATTGGTTTCGTGGATGACAATTTTTCCATCGACGAGGGTGGGGGAGTTGAAGGGGTATGGTTTGTTTGGGGATGATGCAAGTGTATTACTTTTATTGTTCACTTTATATCTATTATTATTATTATATTGTAATGTATAATGAAATGATTATATAACTCACCATAATGTGGAATCAGTGGAGTCCAGAGCTTGTTTTCCTGAAACTAGATGGTCCTATCTGGGGGTGAGGGGAGACAGTGACAGATCATCAGGCATTAGATTCTCATAAGGAGTGTGCAACCTAGATTCCTCTCATGCCTGGTTCACAATAGGATTTGCACTCCTATGAGAGTCTAATGCCACTGCTGATCTGACAGGAGGTGGTAATGTGAGTGACAGGTGGTGGCCCGGGGATTCAGGATCCCTGAACTACACAATTCATGTTGTGTGTGTGCATGGATAGGAATGTGTATGTTTTTTATGCATATATACACTCTATACACACACACTATATATATGTGTGTATATATAATTCCTATAGCATGATCTAAAAGAGCTTTTATTTTTTATTTACTTTAAGTTCTGAAATACATGTGCAGAATGTGCAGGTTTGTTACATAGGTATACACGTGCCATCAACCCATTATCTACATTAGGTATTTCTCCTAATACTATCCTTCCCCTAGTACCCCGGAGTGTGATGTTTCCCTCCCTGTTTCCATGTGTTCTCATTGTTCAACTCCCAGTTATGAGTGAGAACATGTTGTGTTTGGTTTTCTGTTCCTGTGTTAGTTTGCTGAGAATAATGGTTTCCAGCTTCCTCCATGTCCCTGCAAAGGACGCGAACTCATCATTTTTTATGGCTGTACAGTATTCCATGGTGTATAAGAGCTTTTAAAATTCAACAAGTAAGAGGTATGCTTTTTAATGGTGTATAAGAGCTTTTGAAATTCAACTGAGGAAAACAGAGAAAATAAACAGACAATCCACAAAATTGCCTTATTGTGGTTAAGATCCAATAAATATATACAAAAGTTTAATTTATTACTAAGAAAAGTAAAAAACCACTAGGAGTTTTAGAAATTTTTCGTATCAAATTTTAAACATTCTAGGAGTATTATTTCCCAGTGTTGTGGAGGTGACAGAAAATTAGAATTATTTTATCAAGTTTGGGTAAAATTGGCATAAATCCCTGGAGATGAATTTGATTGTGTGGAGAAAAAGCCATGTAAACATGCTCACAGCCTTTGATCCAATAATTCTACATTTAGGGATTTGGTTGAAGGACCAATTACATAAACACCGAAGGATTTGTGGAAATGGTAATCATTTCGCCTTTAAATAATAGTGAAAAATAGGAAATTCATAAATGTCCAATAACAATGGGATTAATTAGATGAAACCAGGCTCATGCAAAATGAAAGCCCATGCTTAGAAGATTGTTTAAAGATGTGAAGGGATAGTCACAACGTGATTTTTAGAAGAAAAAAGCAATAAAATAAAATAGACCACTTTTAAAAACCAGATGCTTCACAGAAAAAACTCACAACGTCTCTAACAGATGAATTTATGAGTGATTTTGCTTTCCTCTTTTTTCAGTTTTCCATCTTCTAATTTAATAAAATAAACTAATATATTCAGAAAAACATATACAAAGGGATGAGTTTTAAATATTGAGTATGTGTGACAGGAGAAATGGAAATCCTTTTACTAGCATTCCTAAAAATTAACTTATTGAAAGAGAAGGAAAATGAAGGAAGGGTGTAGGAGAGGAAGCTGTGATCATTTATTGAACACCAAATCCAGGGAAGCTACTGTGGAATGCATATCAATACTATATATCAGCTCTTGGCAACAAGCCAGTAAGGAACTTGGCTCAAACAGGGCCAGTGGACCATGTGGGATCAGGCAGCTTCTTTGTAATGAGACCAAAGTGGTAGCCCTCAGCCCCTGATTTGGGAATTTTATCTTTTCCATCAACTCTTAAAGTTAAAATATGATAAAAAGCATTACCTTATACAATGATGTGCTGTTGACCAGTTTTTGATAGTAACTGTTTTCACAGGTTATCTGCAAAAATTTTTTAACCCTCACAGCTTTACTAGTTACTTGTTTCTCAGCGAAACAGCTGTGCTCATTTCTTCTGATGACATTCAGGTTCCATTCCTGAGTATGATTTCTATGGAATAAAGGTGTAAAGGTATTTTATAATACTACAGAAACTTTGCAAATATCACCCTCTTCCCTTTAGTAACAAATGCTTTATTTTTTCATTTTTTTAAAGAGATTGATTCATTGATGTGCAAACCCTGCTCTGCCTCCTTTTGATTCAGAGGAGCAAGAAACTTAACAACTGTCATGGGACCAGGAGGTAAAAAATGAAAACCTGAGCAGTCTACACACACAGAGACACATGCACGCAAACACACAAACACACACACACGTACATATCCTACTGCAGACAATATATTATGGATGTCAGAACAGGAGATGTTTACAATGTCAATGATCTTTGGTGATGGATAAGTTTAGAGAGTCTTAGTCCAGGATGGGAGGGTGGCTTTGATTTCACCAGGTCTATAAACTCCTGATGTTGTTTTCTAAATGCGTGTGTATATGCGTTAGGTTTCATGTTTCTCAAGGCAATTTGTTCCAATCCCCTTCTCCTACTGTTGAATAAACCAGTCTGGAGTTGCTGCCCTCAGTGTCATTGAATTAGCTCTTTAAATGCCTTACTGACCAAAAGTGAATATGAGTAGATTTTATAGTGCTTTTCCTCCTGATCAGAAATTAGTGATCAGGATTATCACTAGGCCAGGTGCAGTGGCTGACCCCTGTAATTCCAGCACTTTGGGAGGCTGAGACAGGTGGATCACCTGAGGTCAGGAGTTTGAGACCAGCCTGACCAATGTGATAAAACCCCGTCTCTACTAAAAATACAAAACTTAGCTGGGTGTGGTGGTGGGTGCCTGTAATCCCAGCTACTTGGGAGGCTGGGGCAGGAGGCAAAGGTGGCAGCGAGCCGAGATTGTGCTATTTCACTCCAGCCTGGGCAACAAGAGAAAAACTCTTTCGAAAGAGAGAAAGACAGAAAGACAGAAAGAAAGACAGAAAGAAAGAGAAAGAAAGAAAGAAAAGGAAAGAAAGAGGGAAATGAAGAGAGGGAAGGAGGGAGAGAGGGAGGGAAGGAAGGAAGGAAGGAAGGAAGGAAGGAAGGAAGGAAGGAAGGAAGGAAAGGAGGGAGAGAAGGAAAAAATAAATTAGTGATCCAGAATTGGAAAAAGATACAGTATTTTTTAAATGAAGTTCTTAAAAAGAAAATGTTTCCAATTTGATGTTAGCTTACCCTGCACCTGGGATGTGCAGATTCATTTACTAAACACAGCAGACACGTGTTGTTAAGTTATCCTATATGCCTGACACATTTGTGCTCACTTTAGGCTCTTCCAGTTTCCCTTTAGGTCTTCAACAGGATAGAAGGAAAACAAGGCTAGCACTTACTGAGTTCCGAGTGTTAGACTATGTAAGTGCAAGGGAGATGACTATTTTCCTTAGGTTCCAATGAGAATTTTAAATCTCAGAGAGGTTAAACAATTGCTCAGGGCACACACTTGCTACAAGATGGGGCCAGGATGCAAATGCACATCTATTTGGCCCCAAAGGCCAGAAGTGCTTTGAACAATTCTAATCACTTTCTCAATCCAATGAATCTGGCCCCTTCACCTTGGGCATGACTTTATGAAAGATTGGCCATGACTGGAAGGTGGCAGACTGTTGTCATGGTTAGAGGCAATGGGTAAGTGGCCATGGGACATGATAGAGCTATCTGGCCCTGGAAATGGATTCAGAATCCTGTTGGTAGAATCTTCTTCTCCAGTGTATTTTTGTAAAGTCTCCCCAACTTTGGCCTCAATGAACTAGAGAGAGATTTCTGGATCTCTCTGACGTGTTGCTTAAAAGGAATAGAGTACATGAATATTCCCATCTTGGCAGATCGCACTGTTCTCTACCTCTGTAATCCTCAATTTCTAATGCTCAACAAATGCTAGAGGACTGATTACACTCCACGTGCAGGACACTGCAATAGGAATGCTGAAAAACAAGCAACATCATACTGCACCTGCCATCCAGGAGCTCCAAGGCTGGTGAACACTGAGGCCAACTGGCCCAAAGCTGTGACCACACTTTCCTGCCACAGGCCCAGCCCATACTGATTATAAAAGCCTCTCATTTTTGTCCACACACCAGGGGATAAGCACCAGCCCCCTCTTCTGAGGCTGCACACCAAGCTGAACTTGCTGCCTGTCAGCCTAGGATCTGATTATTACATTTCGTGTGTGCATTTCTCTACACCTTCATTTCTTCACCTCTATCATTGAAAACTCCTATATCCCCTTCCTTCTTAGTTGTTTTTTGTTTTTTGTTTTTTTTTTCATAAAATTTGGTGAGACAAAGTGATTTTCACTGCAGGACTGAATTAATCAGTCTTCAGTGGCATTTGATTATTAGCAATGGACTCCTAAGAATTAAAGAATTACTGTTCTAATGGGAAAATTTCAGGTGTAAAGTCTGTTCAGTGATAGATTCCATATCAAACTGCAAAAGCTTACACACCTAAGTTAGAACACACATGTGTATGTACACACACACACACACAGACACACACATCTGCAGTAAATACTGCTTACCAATTGCACGACACACACACACACATCTGCAGTAAATACTGCTTACCAATTGCACAACACACACACACACACACACACACACACACACACACATCTGCAGTAAATACTGCTTACCAATTGCACTATATACTTCACTCTCACAGTGATCAGTCTCCAATATCCACTCTGGGACACCTTATTTTAGCATGTCTGCTACCCTGTCTCTCCACACCTCTCTGAAATCCTACCTCAATCTTTTACTTCCATTGTTGTTTCCTAAGTCAGGCTGTATTCTCTACTCCCCATGTCAGAAAGATGACCAATGCCATTGTCTTCTGTTATTTCCAAGGGATTATCATAGATGCCTGGCTGTTCCTTTCAATGTGCTCTCTATGCCCTGTCCAGAATACTTTATTCCTTTAAATAAACTTCATTCAATCAGGAGTCAAAAGAGGGGAAGATGTGTTTGTTGTTCTTTTTCCTTTACCCCATTTGTGAGTATTCATTCTTCCTTAGAGTTATGAAAAAAACTCAGTTGTGACCCATTTCTGTAATTATTGTTTTTCAAAGGTCACCTGAAGATGTATTGATGTTTATCAAAAGAACTATTTAATTTTTTCTAATGCCTGGGAGTTCCCATGTATAAAAACAAACAAAAATGACCTCATTTGGTGCAAAACCACAGGACTGCTACCAAGGTTTCATACTGATAGCTCACTCTGCTCTCAACAGCATGGTTGATAATGATCAAGGCTCAGTCTACAAGTGCTTCTAAAAGAAGTCTGCTACATATGAAATCCGCACACCATCACCCTTCAGCTGGCCCTGAGCTATTTCCTGCAGGTCAGTCTCAAGTCTCTATAACAATACCTACATATGTAGGTAGGTACATCTAAAGAGAAACGTGTTCAGTAAGTGTGGGTGATGCTTTCAGTTGACTGTGCTCATTTCATGGAATTTACGCAACTAAATTATGAGTATCCTGGCAAAATCTTGGGACACCTCATGAGTAAACTTCCATGTTGCCCTCTCTCCCTGCTCCCAGCTGTGGGTGGTGATTGGCTGCCAGACACACACTTTCTCCACTAGCACTGACTCCTGGCTCCCAGTGAACCCCTGCAGACTGGACTCATGTGTCTGCATCAACCCCCTCTCTGCTCCCCACCAAGTATGCCACCCAGGAAGCTGGCACTGTCCCCTTCACAATACATTAATATTACTGTGAAGTCTGAGCCACTGATTTCATTTGACTGGGGGCATCTAAACAAAAGGAGCAGCTGAATTTTAAAACTGACTTGCATGCAATTGCGACTTCTTATTGACAAGGATCCCCTAAAAGAAAATCCTTTTAAGGTAACCTCCTTTTACTAAGGTCATTAAGAAAATAAACACAGAGAGATAAATTTATTTTGTTCCATAACAAAGAAGGTATTTCATGTCATAGGAAGAGTAGGAAAGAAAAAGATGTGCTGATTATTTGACCTTTCAGATTACTGCATATTTGAGTTGCTGAACAAAGGACAAGAGGGTTGTAAAATACACTCTAAAAAGAAACCGTTACTCACCCCATTTGGAAAAAGTAAGATCCTGTGTCATTCAACTCAACAGGCCAAAACTCCAAAGCATGATCTTGCAAACCAATTCTTGGTGAACTGCTTGGGTTCAGCTCCACACGTTTCTGCGATCCACTGCTTTTTTGCCATCTTCCGGTGTTTGCTTCCATCTCATGTGCATGTGAAGATGAGCAATATTTCAGATAGAAAGGTTCCCCTTCAACCGCGGTAATGTGGGGACGTGAAGTACAAGAAGACTCTTCAAAAGATTAAAGTAAAAAGAAATAAAAACAAAAACCAAAATGACAAAGGTAACTTTTTGTCTCCTAATGTATTAGGTGAAGAAGCAAAGTTAGTAAGAAAGTCCTGAGAAATCTCGGCGTCACTTTCTTGTGGGTTCTATTATTTTTGCATCAACCTTTTCAACACTAGAAGGGATAAGGCACTTTCAGAACATAGATGAAAACACAACTTCCGACAGTTTCTCCCGAACAGGAAGGTATCAGAATTTAAACAATCATAGCTAGAAGACTGATAAATGTGTCACCTTTTAAAAGCAAATATAACACATTTTAACTTCTTCATAAGGAAAGCCACAGAAGTCACAGTGTTTTTATATCTACCTCAAAACATACCCAGCTGAGGAGTCTCAGTGGAAAACAAGAAACCTAGCAATTTGGCATTCTTCCTCTGCATCATCAGAAATCTCACTCACCTTGCATTCACCCTGCCTATCTAACATTCCCCAGCACGTGTGGGTATGGTTAAAAGCATGCCTATGTAACTTAGGGTGTGTGTACGTTTGTTATTGCTGTAGGTCACCATGTGGATAATCAAGAGTTCATTTATATAATATCAATCCAAATTTGCATATGTGTCACTTTCCCTCTTTCTCGATTGACCCAGATTGTCTGGCTTTGAAAATGTACCTGACCCTCATCTACACAGGATAGGTGCTCCTTCCCCTCTTTCTGCACTCTGGTACTTCAAGGTCAGCATTAATGGGTCTTTCTCATAATCTATTTTCCGGTGGCTCTTGGGTGCACTTTTATCACATTTTGAGGATGAGAATATTTAAATTGAATGAAACATTTTCTCTTAGACATGAACAGAATGCCCTCTCTGTAGACAGTATTCATTTCTCAAAGCAGCAATCTAGTTTTAACTCAAAATTGTTAACCACAGCATAAAGAGGAAGTGTTGTGGCAGAAGCATTGTGAAATGGTTTGGCTGTGGCCCCACCCAAATCTCAACTTGAATTGTAATTCCCATAATCTCCACATGTCACTGGAGGGACCCAGTGGAAGGTAATAAGTTCTCACTAGATCTGATTATTTTATAAGGGGCTTTTCCCTCTTTTGTAAGTTTCCTGAGGCCTCCCCAGCCCTGTGGAACTGATTGAATCTCTTTCCCTTATAAATTACCCAGTTTCAGGTGTGTCTTTATTAGCAGTGTGAGAATGAACTAATACAGAAAAATGGTACCAGGAGTGAAGCACTACTGTAAAAACACTCAAAAATGCAGAAGTGACTTTGGAGCTAGGTAACAGGCAGAGGTTGGAACAGTCTGGAGAGCTCAGAAGAAGACAAGAAAATATAAAAAAGTTTGGAACTTCCTAGAGACTTGTTGAATGGCTTTGACCAAAATGCTGATAATTACATGGACAATAAAGTATAGGCTGAGGTGGTGTCAGATGGAGATGAGGAACTTATTGGGAACTGGAGCAGGTGACTCTTGTTATGCTTTAGCAAAGTAATTGGTTGCATTTTGCCCTTGCCCTAGAGATCTGTGGAACTTTGAACTCGAGAGATTATTATCTGGCAGAAGAAATTTCTAAAGAGCAAAGCATTCAAGAGGTGACAGAGCTTAAAAGTTTGGAATATTTGCGGCCTGAGGATGTGGTCAAAGAGAAAAACCCATTTTCTGGAAAGAAATTAAAGCTGGTTGCAGAAATTTGCATAAGAAATGAGGACCCAAATGTTAATTGCCAAGACAATGGAGAAAATGTTTCTAAGGCATGTCAGAGATCTTCACAGCAGGCCCTCCCATCACAAGCCCAGAGGCCTAGGAGGAATAAATGGTTTCCTGGGCTGAGCACAGGACCCTCTGGTGTGTGCAGCCTAGGGACTTGGTGCCCTGCATCCCAGCCCTCTAGCCATTGCTAAAACAGGCCAAGATACCAGATCAGACTGTGACTTCAGAGGGTGCAAGCCTCAAACCTTGGCAGCTTCTACATGGTGTTGAACCTGGACTTCTACATAGTGTTGAACTGGCAGGTGCATAGAAGTCAAGAACTGATGTTTGGGAACCTATGTCTAGATTTCAGAGGATGTATGGCAATGCTGGATGTACAGGCAAAGTTTGCCATAGGGGTGGAGCCCTCATGGAGAACCTCTGCTAGGATACTGTGGAAGGGAAATGTGGTGTTAGGGATCCCACACAAAGTACCCATTGGGGCCCTGCTAGTGGAGCTAGGAGAAGAGGACCATCATCCTCCAGGCCCCAGGATGATAGATTCACTGACAGTTTGCACCATGCACCTGGAAAAGCCCAGAAACTCAACACTAGCCCATGAAAGAAGCCAGGAGGGAAGCTGTACCCTGCAAAGATACAGGAGCACAGCTGCCCAAGGCCATGAGATCCTACCTCTTGCAGCAGCACGACCTGGATATGAGACATAGAGTCAAAGGAGATCGTTTTGGAACTTAAAGTTTTAATGACTGCCCTATTAAATTTAAAACTTGCATGGGGCCTGTAGCCCCTTCGTTTTAGTCAACTTCTCTCATTTGGAAGGGTGCATTTATTCAATGCCTGTACTTCCATTGTATTAGGAAGCAACTACTTTGCTTTTGATTTTACAGACTCATAGGAGGAAGGCACTTGACTTGTCTCAGACGAGACTTTGGACTTGGATTTTTGAGTTAATGCTGGAAAGAGTGAAGGCCTTGGGGAACTGTTGGAAAGGCATGATTGTGTTTTGAAATGTGAGGAGATGAGATTTTGGAGAGGCCAAGGCTGGAATAATATGATTTGGCTGTGCCCCCACTTAAATCACCTTGAATTGTAGTTCGCATAGGCCCCATGTGTCATAGGAGGGACCTGGTGGAAGATAATTTAATCATTGGGGTAATTACCCTAATGCTGTTCTGACAGTGAATGAGTTCTCATGAGATCTGATGTTTTTATAAGGGGCTTTTCCCCTTTTGCTAAGCATTTCTCCTTGATGCCACCATGTGAAGAAGGATGTGTGTGTTTCCCCTTCCACCATGATTATAAGTTTCCTGAGGCCTCCCCAGCCATACAGAACTGTGAGCCAATAAAACCTTTTTTCTTTATAAATCGCTTAGTCTCAGGTTTGCCTTTATTAGCAGCGTGAGAATGAACTAATACACATTCTTTGAAAACATGTATGTCAAATCTAACTAAAAGCAGAAGAGTTAAGGAGCACCAATTTTATGTTTTCTGGTTGCTATGCAATCTCTATTTTACATTAATACTTTAACATAGAAGGTGTGATACATTTGTATATGTGGGTGTCAATTTCAATTGACACTGAAAACCATGATGAGTCATTAACAGTTCATTTATTTTCCTGTTTTAGAATTAATATAGTAAAATGTATAGACCATACAATATGTGCTCCTTTATGTCTGTGTTATTTTGACATGATTAGGTTATAAAGGCATTCATGCTATAGCAGTGATGTGTTCTTTTCTCATTGTGTTATTATTTAGCAATTTATCCATTTTATAAAGGGAAACATGTTGGGGATTTGGTTTATTAAACAAATGCCTATTGGATATTGGGTTATTTCTGGGTTTCCAGGTTTTGGCCGGTCTTAAAAAGCTTCTATAAACACATGACTGTGTTTGGATGGACATGTGCTCTCTGGAAGTATTACCATTTGAAAAAAAATAATCTAAATTACACACTCTCCAGAGGTGGGAAGTTGATAGTCGAAAGTCCACACCCCATCCCCTAGGCAGCTAGTAGCTTTGGATATCTAATTATGTGTTTACCATTAGAGACTTTGTTGATTACCATAATGCTTGTTGGAAATGGTCCTTGTTGGGATAAATGAGAAGAGTTCAAGCTATGCAGAGTTCCAAGTGCCAAAATAGGCACTCCTATTTTTCTATGAACACAGTATAAGAACCCAGCAGGGCCAACAACAATAAAGTCTGTGTTTGAAACTGTCTTCAGTTTGAACAATCATAATATTTTGTCACTTAAACTCAATTAGGTTCAGCAAATCCTATATAGATGTAGAACATTGTCATGTCTCCCTAGAGGGAACTATTCATGAAAAGTGCTTTCCAGGGCAGACAACAAGGAATTTGGCAACCTTGCACAATAGGCTACATGGCTGTTTCTGTGCCTGAAGCATGCTCTCATTGTAACAAGGTGCAAGGCTGTTAGTGTATGTCCACAGGACATGGGACCCATGACACATTTTCCTTCCCCTTGCTTTTCCACTCACTCATTTCTGACAGATCATTGCATATCAAAAAAGAAATATCTACCTCATTCCTTTGCCATCTGGGTAGGATTGTATTGCAGGTATCTCAATAATAATTGGATCCACATAAGTCAATATACCCTGAGATTGGACCTGTGTTATCTGAAATTACCAAAAGCTTAATTCTGCTATCTCTTCAGCAGTAATTCTCAAAGCAGGGAACACAGGCCCATGTGCTTCCCTCTCCCAGATAATATATCAAGGCAAATTAGTATTTGTGTTCCCATTTTCTTTCCCAAAGCCTAAGGAATGCCTTGCTATTCAATCATGGAACTCTGAAGAATGGAGTCTCGGAATCCTTCTCAATAAAAAAAAAAAAGAACTCTAGACAATCACTGCTAATAAATTAAAATTGGCATTTGACATCTACTGTGAAGCCTACTTGAACTCCCTGGTCTAACCAGACTCTTTTATGTATATTTCTTCTCAGTTTATTTTTTTTAAAACCTCTCAATATATTTTTCATTTACATTTCTCATTATTACTTAAATAATGAGATGAATATTTGCCTCCACTCAGGAAGGAGAGAGTGTGTTTCAAACTTTCTAAAACCCAATAACAAAGACGGCTATCATCTCCTCAATTTCAAATAACGTGAAAGAAATTTTCACCTCAAACAAATGTAATTTTCTTCAAGATGCAAGTTTTTCACTCTGCTCTCACTACAGAAACTTGGAATGCAGAATCTTTTCTGATAACACCATGTACGTCTTTTTTATTTGATCCCATTCCTATGACTCTTATCTCTATATCTGGGATACCAAATGGTTGGCAATGTCACTAATCTTAATAAATTAGGTCACCAATCTTAATAAATTCAGCATCTTCAGTAGCCACCTTCATATTAAAAGAAAAAACTTGGACATCGTTTCTCAACTGCTAATAAAATATGTTTGTGAGTATTTATAATCACTTACCTGTGGTGCTTACAAATATAAGCACCCAAAGGGACAACGTTAATTCTCTACAATTCATGGTTTGGATACTGCTTCAAATGGCTTCTCTAGAAAACAGAATAAAGCAGATTCAGCCAAAGCTTTCAGACAAAAGCATGCCTATCTTATGAAGGTTTAAAAATCCTCTGGCACACATATTTTTTGAAAACCAACCTAGAAGATTTTCATATTCCCTAATATAGTAATCAATTCTCAGAACTTTCAGCCATATAAAATTAATAAAATTTCAAGGCAATGAATTTTTGCTTCTGGAAGACATCCTTAATAATTCATTTTTCTGACACAACAGAACCTGATGAATTTCTGCCCTAGTCTATTAAAACCTGCCTCCAAGGTCAAAGTTGAGAACAACAGTACTGCTAAAAATATTACCATTCTATGAATAAGAAATTTGTGACATGAGGTACGTATGAGAGTTTTGCCCACGAAAGAGAATGTGTGTGTGTTTTCACATCAAAATGATCATCATGACTTGTAATGAGATCTTCATTCAGGAGTTGAATTTTTAAAACTCCATCTTCCTTGTTCAGAATGTAAGTTTCATAAGTCTAAGAACTAAGTCTATTTTGTTCTTCATTGTATCACTAAACTCCAGCATGACGCCTAGCACACCCCCAGCACTTGCTAACATGTGTCACTGAAGCACAGGTATGTGTGTGCGTGTGTCTGTGGCTGCCCATATGAGTTTACTTTAGGGAAATGGAAAAACAAAACGACAGTCTCCTACACTCCAGAGCCCTCCTTTACATTGACCATGACCTGTGGAACAAAGATCTGCATTAAAATTTGATCTTACTACAACCTTGCCTTTGCACTTCTGATTACAACTTTGAGAGCCCATTGGAGGAAGGATCTCCCACAGTGCAGACCATTCAGAGTCTAAATACTGCATAAATAACACCATGTTCCTTGTTTAACCATCCTGAGTGCAGGGAGCACAGCCTGATGGCAGAGTCTGGTTTCAGAAACACACAAACCTGGGCTGCCACCCCAGTTTGAGTCCTGACAAGCTGCGCAACTTTGGGCAAGTCTTAGAGCCTGTTTGCTCATTACCAAACCAGAGATAATAAAAGTCCTGCCTCTGGAATTATCCAGTGATTAAACCATCTAAGGCTTATGCAGACTTCCTGAGTGCATGACAGCCTCTCAGTCCAAAATAATTTCCTCTCACCAATGACTACTCACCTTCCATCCTTCAAAAAAAATAAAAAAAATAAAAAAATAAATAAAAGGGTTGTCAATGCCTAAATCCAGGATAAAGCTTAATGGCTAAGCTGCCAAAACATTCATGTCCATACTTAGGGGAAAATCATCAAATATTTGTCAGAATTTCCAAGACATAATAATCAATAATGTAAAGACAAAAGAGACAAGTATCAATGGAAAGTACCAACTGTGCATAATCAAATTAGACCCGTTCTGTGGTTTGAAACCTCCCCCACTACCTCCCCACACGTTCTATTATTAACTCTGCTTTTTCTTTTATCTTGGATAGAATAAAAAATGTTATTTCCTTTACGTCACTACTCTGGTTAAGGCTGATATAACCTTATAAAAAAGCTTCACTTTTAAAAACATTCAATATCTACCAAGATACAAAATTAAAATTAGAAGACGAGTCAGCAAACTAAGTTAACTCTGATTTTCAATATGAAACGTATTAAGATTTCAGTATACGAATAATAGGATCCCAGTATACAAAAAAGTAGTTGGTATTTGTACAGCATTATGCAAATGTGGATGTGTGTATATAAAATTTTTAATGTACTTAAGTTTACATGTGAATTTAAGAGATTAAGGTTATATTAAATAATAAATTTATTTCCAGAAAAAGAACGATTCTAATAAATGTAATAGGTGCTCTAGAAAGTATTAATAAAATAGATACAGAAGAATATAAATATTAAGTGTCTTACATGAAAGAATTTTAAGGGCTTTTTATTGTTATGTTTAATATCAATATTTTTGCTCTTCCATAACTCTTGTTTCTTTCTTTTTTAAAAAATTTTTGTGATTTCTAAAGCAATTTACACACAATGTAGGGCATTTACAAAATGAAGACTGGAAGAAGAAAATATTCTCAACATGCATAATATTTTAGCATGTTTTCTTGTACTTTTTATAAATATTGTCACATAATTAAGATGTTTAAACAATCGCATATCCTGCATTTCCAATTAATATGATATAATAAGCATTTTTCTGTGTCACAAAACTCTTTGTTAAAACCATTCTAATTGCCACCTAATATTACTTCATGTGAATATATTATCATTTAACAGATGCATTGTATTATGAGATAATCCTATGATCATCTTCACAGGTAAGGTAGGATGGCTCAGTCTTTTTGCAACATGGGCTCAGGTGCCAGCCTGGCTGGATTTGAATCTCCATTCTACCCTCTACCAGCTGAACAACTGTGGGCAACTGACTTACTTGCTCTGTGCCTCAATTTCCTTATCCACAGAAAGGGATAATAATACCATCTCCTGGAGCTGATGTGAAAGTTAAATGAGTTACTATTGCAAGTGTCTGGTGAAACTGAATACCACTTAAATGTTGTTTACATTTCTTATTATTTCCTGGGTGTTACTTGATGGCAGAACAGTGATTGAGTTGAAGACTACATTTAAACCTGGCAAATGCATGTTCTCAAACTGCATTCCAGAAGTGCTGCAATAATCCATATTCTCTCACTTAACAGCACAAGACGGTATCTATCAACCACACCCAGGAGATCACTGAGCAACTTTACTTTTAAAATCTAATTAGACAGCCAAAATAGAAAAATGTTGTCCTTGTTGTTTTCTGAATTTGCATTTATTTGGGTATAAATGAGGTGTATATTAATCACTTATTATCAGCCATTTTATTTTCATGTTTATGAACCCTCTCTTGTCTTTTGTCCAGTTCTCAGATGTTTGTCTAACTTGTTGTTTACTTTTTCTCTTTTGTTATGCTAATAGATGAACATATTTATATTGATGTAGTCAAACCCATCATTCTTTTGTCTGATTACAGGTATGAGCCCCCATGCCCAGCCGTGATTTTTTTTTTATTACTTTTAAGCATAGAATATCCTTTCCTCTCAGTGGTCAAATAGATGCTTATATATCGTCTTCAATTTTATGGCTCAATATTGCTCTGTTTTGTTTATACGTTTAACTTTTTTTTATCCACAAACAATTAATTTTCTTGTTTGACACAAAGATAGGGTTTGACTAAACTTACTTTCCTCAGAGAGCTACTAATTACTTCTCTATTGTCACTTAAATAGTCCTGTATTTTCCTTATGGTTTGCTGACATGAGGCTATAATGTACAGGTCTTCCCTGAGCACTCTGCTGAAAGCCTACCCCAGCAGGCTTGCCCAGGTGCAAACACATACACATTCACACACACCAATATTCCTCTACCCTCCCACCTTCAGTTTGTCTATTCACAGCACTTATCACTAACTGACATATTTTCACTTTATGTCTGCTTGTTTGTTGTTTGCCAAATTACTGAATGAATTAAATCCATAAAATATATACAATTTGGAATCTAGATGATCATCTGATCCATTGACACATCTGCATAGTGTATTTTTGAAATGCTTTTTAAATCATCATATCTCAGACAGCGTGTTTTAGCAACTAATGGGAAGTCTAGGGCACCAGCTGTCACTCAAGTTTGGAAAAAAATCATGCTGCCTGGGCTCTACCCAGCGGTCTGAAGGACAGCTTGGGCATCCTGATTCATCAGAACTCTGCACATGACTCTAATGTGCAGTCAGGTAGAGAGCCAATGACCTAGAGTACTTAATTGTATTCTTAGAAAAGTAAGTTTAACTCATCTTAAACACATGTATTTGATGTGTTTAAGACATATTAAATATTTGTGCACCTACATATGTATGTATGTTTGTGTACACACACACAACTAATAGTCACAAACTTATCTAAATCACTCAAAGGCATGAAGTTTTCTCTAAATGAAAAAACAAACAAACAAACAAAAAACTGTTTCATTCTAAAAATTGGGTGACCCATGCTGAAGATTAGATCCAAGCTGACCACTCTCTCTTCTCCCAAGGCAACGCAATAATAGGCCCTTCTAGAGGGTCCAAATGGTCATCTGAACCCCTGGCTCTACCCAGCTGCCCTTGTTTATGGGCCCCACCCTGAGAAGCTGACCATCCTCTAGAAGAAGTAATTCAAGAAACATATAATGTACAGAGAAAGAGCCACTTCAAAGCTCTTTCTAATGAGGAATCCAAGACTCAAGGAAGTGAAATGACCAGCCCCAGATTACAGCTAGTCACAGGGACACACATGAATCAGTGTAGACACCTCAATATAAGCCATTCATTAGCAACACATACAATCGGGCACCTCCTGAGACAAAGTGCCCGGATGAAAATCATAACACCCATGTTTTCTTAAATCTAATTTTTCCTCTAAAGTGTTCCATTGCATAGTCTTTTTATTCAGCCTGCATGAAGATAAAACAACCACATGCAGAAAGGAGAAAATGATCTTGGCCACCACAAGCACACACACTTAAATTCGAACAAAGAAAGAATTTGTATAGAATTTGGCTTCTCATCTGTAAGGCTAAGAAAATCAATGCCACCTCATAGTCCTTGTCACACACGTGTCTGTTGTTATCAGCCTTATGCTTCCCCCCAAATCTGCCTATGCCTGTGCTAATCCTGCCACCTGAGCCACCCTCTCCACTTCTCCCAGCTGCCAGGTCCCTACGGTACTTGCAACTTGGCTCAATATTTGCCTTTTCAAAGAAGCTCTCCAACTGCAACAGCCCCAAATGGCACATGCTCTTGTCCAAGCCCATCTCCATCACTCCGCAGGCGTCTCCATCACTCACTCCTGCACTAGCTCCTACTCTCCGATGAGGTCCCTGAGGGCAGAGACCCTGCCTTTTCAATCCGTGTTCCCTGACCTTGTTCTTTGCCTTTGGATGTGTATTTGTGCAGGGAGAGGGAACACACTGGCCCCAGAACCTGCACAAACCCAATTCCCCAAATTTATTTCCTCCTAGCCCATCCAAGGCCCTGAGGTTGAAAGGTGTGCTCCCAATAACATCACCGTGTATGACACAAAATGGGTATTTGCAGAAGTCTTGAGAATAGAGCAAGAGAAGTCAGGGAAATTAATACAATATTCTTGGATCTCTATATCTGGCTGCAATTGTCCCCCCATTAATTTATTTGATAACTGCGATGCAACTTGCTCGGCATTTTAACTTCTAAAGGCCGGGCAGAATAAACACAAAGGCTCTGGAATCAGAAAAAAAGTAGGTGTGAATCTGGGATCTACTACTTAGTAGCTGGATGCTCTCAGATACATAGCTGAGTTCCTCCTCCCTTTTACTAAAGCATAATAATGGTTCCTACTTCATGTGGCTCTTAGAAGGATTAAGTGAAAATAAGATATCTAAAAATTTTCTACATTGTCAGGCACACAGTAAGCATTTTAAAAATGACAACTATTATTATCATTTATTTCCGTTGTTCTCACCTCTCCAGAAAATAACTGGGGATATCTTAATTTCTAAAACTATACTTTCAGAGAAAGACGAAATGCTGTCTCATCAATCCATTCGTATTCTCTCTCTCTCTCTCTCTCTCTCTCTCTCTCTCTCTCTCTCAATTGATCTTGTTTTGGGAATGTTCCCTTCCCCTGGGGGGTGGGGAGGGGGTGCCAGTGGCAGCAGCACCCACCCTTACCTTCAGAGCGGTGTCCCCGAGGCTGGGGCGGGGGCGGCAGCTCCTCCTTCACGCCAGGTCGCGACTGCGGAGGCCAAGTTCAGAAAGTAGGTGAGAAGCAGCGATCCCACCTCCTGACTACCGTGGGACGCGAAAGAGAGGCGTGATTAACGAGATAAGGCACCCAGAGAGGGTTACGAAAACAAAAACAAAAAAAGAAGAAGGAAAAAAAGTACAAACAAAACGAAAGAAGAATGTCAGTCGTCTGGCAGCTCCTGGCTGCGAACCCAGCCCAGTTGGAGGCTGCAGGTGGGCACGGTCCGCGGTCAGGCGATGCTCAGGCTCCGGGCGCGTCGCGGTCTGGGGCGCTCTCGGTCTGGGGCGCTCCCGGGTGTAGAATGCTCCCTGACTTGAGTTACTCCCGGTCTGGGGCCCCTCCGGTCGGGAATGCTCCTCGCAGCGTGCCCAGGCGCGCTGCCTGGAGTTACCGGAGCTACTGGATCGTGCGGTCCGACGGGCGCAGCTGGAAAACCCGGCGCTTCGCCCTTTTCCCACTGACGGCGTGGACCCCGGTCCTGTGGCCCTTCCTCCCCAGCCGCGCGGCGCGGGTCCCGGGAAATCCCGGGCGGTGGCCAGGTGACCTGCAGGACCGGGAGGGGGCGCGCCCGGGCCGCTCCCACGCACCCTGCTGGCCGCGGCGCACGGCAGAGAACGCCAGGAGAGAGGATGCCTGGCCGCAGCCGTCGCCCGGCTCTTCAAGGGCACAGGCGAGGAGGGCTGGGGGAGGGAAAAGGGGTCCCCCCAGGGGAGCAGAGGATGAGACAGGCGCCGCGTCTCAAGGACACAAGTGCGCCCCAGGCTTTCTGCTTTGCCAGAAGGGTGAGGATTCACTATGGGGAAGTAATAGAGAGGGGTGCAATCGAAGTCTTAATACTTTTTTTCAAGGAGGCCAAAGGAGAATGCGTTTCTAGATTTTTATTGTGTGGCAGAACTGTCATTAAATACAAAGGAAGAGGGAAACCCATAGCTGACAGGCGAAAGGTTTAATGACACAATGATTTTCATTCTTTTTACCCAATCAAGATAATTCACCATATAATAAACAGAAAAAAAACATGTAATTATCTCAATGAATGCAAATAAAAGCATCTGACAAAATTCAACAGCCTTTCTGAATTAATAACGATCAGAAAACAACAAGTAGAAATGATCTTTCTTAATCTGATAAAGAACATCTATAAGAAAACTACAGGTAACTTCATAATAGTGAAACATTTTGCTTTTTCCTAAGATTCGGGATGAGATAAAGATTTTGGCTCCCACCTGGGACAACTGCTTTGGAACAAGTGAAGAAATAAAAATAAAATTAGAAGGCATAAAGATTGGGAAGGAAGAATGAAAACCACTGGTTTTAACAGAGAATATAATTACATGTAGACTAACCTTTAAAATCTACACCCCAAAGAAACCCTAATAAATATAATAGACTAATAAATCCACACATATAGTCAATTGATTTTTTTGCCAAAGTACCATGTCAATTCAATGGGGAAACAGTCTTTTACAAACATGACTGGAACAGCAGAGTATCTCTACAGAATAAGCAGAAAAAAGAATCTCATCCTTGCCTTTTTCTGTATACAAGTATTAATTCACAATAGACCATGAACCTAAACGTAAAAGCTAGAACCATAAATATTTCATAAAAATACATAGAAGCCTATTTTCATGCCCTTAGACAGGCAAAAAAAAATATTATTAGCTAGGACACAAGAAAACACTAGCTATATGTGAGATAAATTGATTAATTAGATGTCACCGAAATCTAAAATATCTACTAAACAATAACATCACTTAAAAACGAATAGATAAGCTGGAAACATTCTTATTTTACATCTATCTGGCAAACAACGTGTATCCACAATATATAAATAATTCCTACACATCAACAATATAAAAAGAAATACAATTTAAATAGGGCAAAAGATTTTGCCTTCACTTAAAAAATATATGAATGGCCAATGAAAACATGAAAAGGGCTCAACATCATTAGCTGGGAAACTTCAAGTTAAGACCATGGTGATACTCATCTAACACCCATGAAAATGATTAAAATATAAAGAAACTTGATAATATCAATTACTGGTGAGACAATGAAGCAACAGAGCTCTCATACACAAGTGGTGGGAATGTAAAGTAGTACAATTAGTTTGTGAAACAATTTATAAGTTTCTCTGAAAGTTTAAGATGCACCTACCTTATGACCACTCAAGTGTCAACAAAAATGAAATAAAAAACATATGTCCACAAGTATGTTCATAGGAGCCATATTCATAATAGCAATAAACAGGAAACAACCCATATGTTCAGCAACAGGAAATACAAAGCAACGAACTACTGACTCATGCAAAACACAGATGAATCTTAAAAGTAGTATTGAGTAGAAATAGCTAGACCCAATACCGTATGACTTTACCCATATGAATATAAAGATATGACAAAACTAATCCATGGAGTTAGAAATTAAAGCAGTGTTTGCCTGGTAACACAATGGAACTTTCTGGGGTGATGGAAATAATATATGTCTTGTTTTGGGTGAAAATTACACAGGTATATTCAACAGTCAGAAATCATCAAACTGAACACTTAGGATCAACGTTTTATTGTATGGTACACAAACTTGATTCAATTAAAAATAATTGAGTTTTTTCTTACAATTCAGTCATTTTCACCATGATTGTGTGGCAGACATTCGACAAGTTTTGGCTACATTTGTTTTATTCATGCCACCTTGTATGGCAGGAGAAGTATATATTACTCTCACGGTACAGAGGAGGAAATAAGGTCAGTGGTGCTGCTGGTGTGAGCATCCAGGTCTTCTGTTGGTTTCCTGACCTCATTATGAGTGTACAGCCCCAAATCCTGAGCCAATGCAGCTGAGAAAGCCCTTGGGGCTCAACTTCTCCATCCTCCTGTTTTTCAGTTCCAGAAACTGAGCCCCGGGGAGCTTAGGTGACTTGGGAAGTAGTGTGTAAGTTTAAGAAAAGGGGTAATGGAGAAAAGAGCTCAGCAACTTCAGTTTTCCCCGGGCCAACCTTATCTGAGGTCCCTGAAGTGCTTCTGTCTTCCCTGCATAGTTTCACAATAAGCTCTAAACCTCATCAGGGTTTGCAAGAAGTATGCCTTCCTGGGCTATATACACTTCTCCCCATCCCTCCCAGAGAGGCACTCGGCATACATTCAGACAATGTAAATATTGAATACTTGCAAAGGAGCTTATAATATACACAGTTAAAACATATTTTAAAATAAGAAATATGGGGCAAACTGAAGCCAAGAAAGAGATCATTACAAATTCCATGTAATGATGTTCTATGTGCCTGTTGTAGAAAAATCCCAAATGTAGCTCTGTGCTTTCAAGTAGCTAATGTAAAGAAAAAAAAATCAATTCCAAAATTTCCTGTATCCATAAATCAAAACCACACTTGCCATTCTAGATGGATGAAGAAGCAAGGATAAAGACACATCTATTCCTGAGATTGAGAATGGGGATAATTTATTCTTTAGTGGTCCTCATTGAGAGAAGTCAGAGAATATAATAAACATTAAAAGAAATACAGTGAAGTTTCATGATAACTATTGCCATTGATTGAATTTTTACTCTGGTCCAAAATTTTTTTTTTAATTTGGTTAGCACAGAAACTTCAAGTTAAGATCATGAAGTTAAGACAGAAATCCAAAGCGTTCATATTACTAGTTATTTTACTTAAAGAAACTAAGCTTTGGAGAAGGTAAGTATTTTCTCAAGAAATATGGCTGATAGGCATAGAGAGGCTGGCTTGTTGATTCCAAATACTATGATATCAACCAGTTAGACATACAACACGCTTTTCATTGACCAATATTTTAGTAATTCAACAAAACTAAACGGTAATCTACAGAAGTAAGGTAGCCAGATTTAGCAAATAAAACTATAAAATGCCCAGACAAAACTGAATTTGGGCCTTCAGTGAAAGTTCACTGTCTGAATTCAACCTCAATAGGTGTCCTGATACTTTCTTTTCTTTTCTTTTTTTTTTTTTGTTTTTTTGTTTTTGTGTGTTTTTCTTTTTTGTTGTTGTTGTTGTTGTTGTTGTTTTTGTGCTTTAGGTTCTGGGGTGCCTGTGCAGATCATGCAGGATTCAGGATTGTTGCATAGGTACACACATGGCAATGTGGTTTGCTGCCTCCATCTCCCCGTCACCTACATCTGGCATTTCTTCCCATGTTATCCCTCCCCGACCTCCCCACCCACCCCCCACTGTCCCTCCCTTGGCCCCCCAACAGACCCCACCCAATGTGTGATGCTCCCCTCCCTATGTCCCTGTGTTCTCATTGTTCAACATCTGCTTATGAGTGAGAACATGTGGTGTTTGATTTTCTGTTCTGTGTCAGTTTGCTGAGAATGATGGTTTCCAGATTCATCCGTGTCCCTACAAAGGAGATATCCTGATATTTTAATACAGGTTTCTTGTATTTTATCTCGCAACCCAATCTGGGGGTATAGGCTAAAGGTATAAGTACCTCAACAGATGAGTAACCATAAGAAACCTTCTGGAGATAAGATTTCTCTTAGTGAGGATTCTGAAAGGTATTGAATGACGGCAAGTTCAAGATGATGTTTTATAGCTGAGCTAAAACTCAGCTGAACTTTGGACTGTTGATAGATTGTCAACAGTTTAGAGTTCAGCTTTCTTTTGCCAGTGAAATACAGAATAATATAACTGATTAAGCGATTCAACTGAGAAAAGCTCTCCATCTACTTACAAAAGTCGAGGCACCAACCAGATTCCTATCTGAGGGGACAGGCTATAACGGTGGCTCTGATCCAGTCTTGCAGCCTCCAAGGCTGTGTGCTTCCTTTCAGTGCTCTGACTAAAGTGGCCTTGACTGCAAATTAACTCCATTTGCCAAAACAGTTTTGTCAAAATGCCCTACTACCTTCACAGAAATGTTACAACACAGTGGTCTCAAATTTAAAGTACATTCTAAAAGCAGGAAATAGATGATATACTGATAGGATTGATACGGAATTATTTATCAGGATATTTAAGTTGCAACCCTGTAGTACAACTGGGAGATAAAACACTATAAATATTTTTAAATTTAAAATGTTTCAATGACATGTCACATGTTTTTATTATGATGTTAAGTAGGAAAATGCCAAACTCAACATGGTATTATCTCAGTTATAAAAATCATATGTGCAAAAATGATTTTTTTTGAGATGATCTCATGGTCACCCAGGCTATAGGGCAGTGGTGTGATCTTGGTTCAATGCAACCTCTGCCTCCTGGGTTTCAGTGATTCTCATGCCTCAGCCTCCCAAGTAGCTGGGATTACAGGCATGTGCCACCATGCCTGGCTAACTTTTGAATTTCTTAGTAAGGACAGAATTTCACCATGTTGGCCAGGCTGATGATCCTAACCTCTGGTGATCCACATGCCTTGGCATCCTAAAGTGCTGGGATTATAAGCATGAGCCACTGCATCCGACCATAATTTTTTTTTTTTTTAAAAAAGAACATTTAACTCTTAAGATGATGGATTTGTTAGTGATTTTTATTATTTTCT